TTGTAAATTAAATTAAAGAGTTACATTTTATCAATTTATGTTTACACTAGTTGATTTTAGTAGGATACTATTTTATGGAATACCTCTACAAATTTACAAAGTTATTACATCAAATAGGAAACTAGCAACACAACTCAAGATAACGAGTTTAAATCCCCAAAGTAGCTAGAGTATTAAATTGCCTTTACTTGTAACAACCAGCTCCACTTTAGTCGGTAAAATGTGGTATAACATTTTCCCTCCAATAAGTAATAAGCTTTAGGTACTTCGATATCGCCTTAAGCTTCCAAGTCAATCAATGAGAGTATTGCACAGCGCTTTACCGCCAACACAAAAGAACAAGAAATGTTTAAAATCGGGCTGTGCGGTGCCGTCAATTCTAAGTAGGCTCAAGAGACTCGTCGACAATTCTTTTCCACGTACGAATCGTTAAGTTGGAACGATTTTATTATTGGTATAGATAAAAGGCGTGAAATACGGATCCCGAGCGTGGGGAGCTGGAAGCTTGGGGAAATTCTAATTAGCGCTAATGGAACGCGCGTTCACCTGGAACTAATCTGCGGCGAGCGCTTCCTACCTTGTGAAATTAATGTTAAATATTTTACAAAGCACAGGGCACATCGCACAAAATGTACCAAGTTCAACATGTCACGTACAACGCTGAAGTTATAACAGCAGCCAACTTTACTAACCCAGTTATCAAGGGCTGTTCCTAATTACGCCTATTCTCGGGAGAAAACTAGGCTGAAATTATGCTCTTAAATAAGTAGTCTTTGAATCAAAGGAACGGCTAACAACGACTTTTATTTATTTAACGAGCAGGAAGACTTCAAATAAATTATAGACTTCCAACGTTCAACGTTTGGTGAGTAGGTACTGAGGTACTCGTGCATATTATACTAAATCAAATAGCTCTGAAAGCTTTTGTAGAGGTTTGTTATATTTAGGTATACCGAATAAGTGTGGAATTTCTGAATAAATCTTAGGGATCAGATTGATCATCAATCCTTATTTGAACGGACTCAAATACCTTAATCCATACTGTCTTACATAATCCTTCTGCCCTATTTCCATCTCAGTATTTTTTAACAATCGATGATACAAGGTACACATTGGAATATCAATATGTTTTTTTATTTAAAAAGCCAGTGACCGTTTTTATAAATTAAAAAAATCCGGTTAAATTTAAAATATAAAAAATAATTAATTACAAACAACTTTTTCATTTTCAATCAAAATAAAATCAATATATCAGTTATTTAAAATTGCATTCAATAATAATTACTAATAACAGTAATCTGACTAACTAAATTACCAAACATAATACTGGAACATCGTTTAAATAACGCACTACAATCGAGATTAGAATCAGTCGTTATTCAGTTCAATATGGGCAGCCCGATAAGCTTCATATTGGTTGGTATTCGGTTTTCACAAAGTTTCACACAAACTATTCGAAGCTTTCCAACAGTTTTATAATGCCTATAGGTAGTACGAACCACATGCAACGTACATTGCACAAGGGAGGTTAGTTACCCCGTATGCTGTAAGGGAGGCAACCGGCAATGAATGCCTAAGTGGTGCACACAGCTTATGAGGTCCATTCAGGCACGAGGTTCAATGCTGGTCAGTAAACAGGGCGCATTCATCGCATACGTGTCACCTGGTAGCCCAGTGTTCATTTGACAATATCGAACTATTGGCAATTTTCACTGGCATATTATGCAACGGATTACGGACATAGGGAGGAAATGTGATGGATACGTAAATTGACCTACAATTTTTTTCTCCAGGTGATTATTATGATAATGTCCATGACATGATGTTTTTCGTGTTATTATTAATTAATTATCATCATAATCAAGTACCCTCTAGCTGTACTCGTACGTCCTTTATAAAATAGCACATCTTTAGGATCGACATTCAACACTTCGTTTCCAACTCAGCAAAAAACCAGGTTAGACAAAAACCATTTGTAATAAATGAAACTAACAAAATAAAAGGTCTGTAATTAGTTCAGAGTGGGGTGTTAACCTGTACGAGCTGTCATGTTATAACGAGCCTTGCGTCACGGCGTGTTCATTGAGCTGAAAGCCACTTGGGTAGTCACAGACAGACAGCTGTCGGCAAGATGCGGCGACACGGACAACCCCTTGTTCAGGGACCGACAGCACTCGTGCACACGTTGATAAGGGATCGATATCGATACGATTGTTGTTATTATTTACAACACTTATCTTTTTTCGAAGACCCAAGTTTAACGAGAAATGTATATTGTCCTATAAATTCTAATTTTAAATGTGTGGTAAGGATAAAAACTGAAGCAGGACTTTAGCAGACTTGAAAAAAGGTTGAGGTTTTGATTTCGACTGTTTTTTGTTTTTGTGACATCTTCATTTTAGGTGAGCCGATTATGATGTTTTTTTATAAGGTGAAAAGTGTAAAGTGCCTCTAATATATGTAAATAACGGAGTATCGCATATACATAGTTATGCGTGTACATGCAAAGTCGCATCAATGAATTGATTGCTCTAAAATACTACCCATAATAATAAAAAGTATAAAAACTAAAACCCAACTACGCCAAAAACCGACACTGAAAAAGTATAAAACAAGATTTTCAGAATACTGAAAGGCGTAGTCACACGTTATCAAAGTGCAGGTATGGTAAGTAAGTAAATATAACGTAAACGTAACCTCCTTTTGATTTGCCGTAGTCGGGTAAAAAATGTAAGATGGTGTAAAGGCACTTATCCGTTACTTCATTATGCATCGTTATTTAAGTACATGGTGACTTGAGCAGTCATTTTGAAATATTCTACAGTAACAGCGATTCTAGTTAAATGTTGTAAATTTCTTCTTATGAACAACGAAACTAAAAAAATCACTTCTAGGCTACTCATAGACTTTGTTGTCACCTCTCGGTTCATTTTTTCCTTCATGTCAAATCATTTAAGCTTGCTTCTATTAAATAAAAGCGTAGACGAGGACTGCAAAATTTCATTATAATTCACAATTAATTTAAAGGAACAAAGCGCTTCAGAAATGGAGACTGGAGAAAGTATTAAAGCTACCTATGTAGGAATAGTCGCGGTAGCTAGTTAATTTTATTATTTCCTAACGAGAAAAATGCAGATGCAATCTATATATAAGGAGCTAGTAGCTAGACGCACTACAGTGCGTCTTACTTATAACTGTACTAGCTCCCGCCTGCGGCTTCGCCAGCGGAGTATGTTGATAAAAAGTAGCGTGTATCCTATTCCGGAGTGTATCGTATGCCTGTGCCAAATTCATCCAGATCCGTCCAGCCGTTTTAGCGTGATTGAGTAACAAACATCCAAACATCGTAACTTTCGCATTTATAATATTAAGTAAGAAGTAAGATGGTATCGGTATATGTATGGTATGTATAGGGAATAGAGTCGAATTAATTGAATCGGTGGTTAACTTCAGCTCCAAGTAACTTCCACTTGAGATGTGTCCCGGCGCCAGGTAACCAAGTTAGGAACGTATACCGTCAGCATTTCGAATATGCGTTGAATATTCAACGTTTCGTTATAAGCATGCAAATTCATATTAAGAGTTTTCAGTAGCAAATATTTGTTTAGGACGAAAAACGATTGGCTAACAAACTGTTCACCCAATTTTATTAACTCGTTTGAGTGAGTACGGCAGCGTTAGTGACATTAGTTTAATGACGTGCCTGAAAATGTAAAGACAGAGGCGGGAGGCACGTGCTATGTATGTAGGGTTGTTGCGAATGTATTCACGTCAGCGAGCAAACGTACCATGGGTGTGCAATTAGTTCCCTTCCGCACACAGCTTCCAAAGGCTTTTATGACCGGAGTTTTAAACGTAGGTAAGCGTAACCAAGTCTTGCACGGGCGCAGGATCCAACCGTGGAGTTTGTAATATTAAAAAAAAAGGTTTGTTTGGGAACAATATCGATTTATAAAGATGGAATACATTTGGACGTTGAATGAAATGAAGATAATTCGAATATAGGAATTGCTTAATTGAAGTCGATATTTAATAAGGGTTCGATTAATACTAAGAACTCTAATATTTCACCATTTATAAGCGTAAAAGATTTTAATTACGTTAACTTAATAATTATGAAAAGTCACAAGTCTCTTTTCCCTATTGACCCAAGATGGAATTTATTAATCGGCTTACTGTTCATTTGTAGACTAATTAATTATTTACTCCTCCGAATCTACGACAGTATCTCCCTTAGGAATAACTTTTTCTGAACTTCAAAATACCAGAGACAAAGAGTTTCGTACTTAGAATCAATTTCGACGGGGTTATTGGGGTAGAATAAAAATATCTTTGTATTTTCTAAAAAGGTTTCTCTCAGACTTGTCTAGTTTGCACAATGTAAGTGCTGTTAAGTTGCCGTTCACGTTGTTTGTTGAGGCAAAAACTCCATTCTACGAGGTATTTCCTAGGTGAGGATAATATATTGCAGAGAAATGTCTTACACGAACATACAGTCTATGTAAGGAATCCATGAACAAGCAGCAAAGAAGGGTATTGTTTATGAGGATAGATTTTTTTGTCCCACACTAGTGTTTATTCTTGTGTATTGGGTGCGTTTTACAATTTCATACATACGCATCACACCCAGACTCGGAACAACACGAAGAGTTGTTTCGTACGGGAATGGAAACGAACGGAGCTGTCCTTAATTCAAGTTTTAGACTTAATGGCAATAATGGCGGGACTCGGGTGACCGAAACAAAAAGGACTAGATAAAAATACAGCATTGCTTTAAAAATCTAAATACATATTCATAACGCATTTTAAGAATTTAATTTCGATAAACCGTCAGAAATCACTACCTTACTTATTCATTGTAATATCTTCGAAATTGGCTTGTAATCTCCGCATTTCATCTTAACTCTTAAATTGTCTTCGAATTGCGTATAAAACCGTCACAACTCTTTAATGATGCTACGATTATATTCAATCGTAAACAAAGCTAAGGAAGTAAGTCCTTATCTTAAGAACAAAGAGAATTGTACAGTACTCACTAGGGCAACGGAGTTGTTGTTTTGTTGCAGCCATCGTAGAATGGCGCTGGCGGTGGTGAAGTCTGGTCGTGGTGGAGGAGGTACAGCGTGTTGAAGGGAGCTGGCCAGCTGTTGTGCCAACTCAAGGGCTCGAGCGCGAGCTGCACGACCAGGCCCCGTGTTCGTCGTGCCACCCGTACCACCCGCCTCTGTAACATATTAAAAATTATTACAGAAAATTGAAAATAAGACATTAATAAAAAGTATACCAACATGAGGATAGCAATAAAAAAAATATTATTAAAAAAACAAAATACCCGACTGCACACTAAAAAAAGAGTAAAACAAGCCCCACAATACAAATTTACTGAATATAATTTATAAATGTTAATGGAAAGCATCGCAGGCGGGGACCAACAGAGGCTTATTTATAGTCATTTCTGTTGTGCACCATTTAGCAGAATTTTCGTTGGTGGCGGTCAAGGTGGTCATTACTCCCGTGATTGAAATGAATCTAATGATACCGCATACATATTTTTTTAAAGGGAAATTTAGAAAAAATATTATTATGTCCTTATCCCGTGGGACTTTTAGGATAAAATGTATCCTATGACACTCCCGTAATTAAGACAAATCTAACGATACCTCATACATCAAAATCCATCAAGCCGTTTAGGCTACAGGAGGTCACAAAGGAAAAGACATACATACATACTTACATACACTCGAAAAACATTACCCTCCTTCTTTGGCAGTCGGGTAAAAAGAGATCAAAACTTATTAAAACAACAACGAGACCTTAGATACTCAGCTCAGTAGAAATGGACTCAAATCATTACATTATTGTAGGTGCATCCTTAAATATAAAAGAAAAAAGGTCAACTAGAAAATACAAGGCCACGGTACAAGGCTTTAGTGGGCGGCAAATAGGAGAGCGTTGCACAACAGATGGCGTTGTTCCACAATACGCAGAGTGGAGGTAAATAAATCGGGAAAAAAACCCGAAATAATTTGAAAATATTAAAGTTTTCATCAAAATTCTGACCTAAATTGTGCTATCAGTGCGTGGTCAACAAATTAGAAGTGTATGAGACTTCTAGATGATATTTTTAAAGAAAAACCTGAATCGCGATATGAAGATTTTCTAAGGTCTGAGCATCTAGTGCAGTGAGCAGTTGCCATAGGTGGAAGTGTATGTCTTCTGCTGTGTCGATACTTACTAGGCATTGATCGCTGCTCAAAGCAGTCGTATCTGCTTAGTAAGAAAACGTCACGCATTTCACGGTATAGTTTAACGATGTTAAACCGGCTGGCTTGTAGCGTGCGCCGACTCCCGTTCGCCCGGACGGCCGGCCGCGTCGGTGAGGCTCGCGCACATTCCCTGACTGGCCTTTGCAATACGCGTTGTTAGTCTAGACACCGGGTTTAGAAGTCTTGAACACTTCCACGTGCAGGCACTGACCACGTCAAGTGCCAGATTTTTGTTGCAATTATTTTTTTTATTCGGAAGGGAACTTATCTGATCAATGACTCTATATTAACTAAGCTACCTTCAGCCAAGTATCAATAACAGGCATTAAATTACGGAAAAGTACACCGTCATACGATACGCCGACGAGCTTCAATGGGCATTATTATTATTATGTATTGTATTTGCACAGTCTTACAATATTACATTCAAGTATTATAAAAACTGGGTATTATAAATACCTAATTGTATCAGGCAATCTAGACCCTGCCACATAATGTTTTGGTATGGAGAGAAAATCCAGAAGGAGCGGGTGTTATACGTGACGTGCACAGTAAATGCGTTAGGATTTTTGTAATAATTATGTATTTTAATAAAGATACTCGCGATTGTTTGGTATACTGATATGGGGAAACTCGGTGCATCTCGGAAGAACTTTCATCGCTCAAAAGAGATGTATACGTGCGATATCTAATGTAGTCCCACTTACTTCCTGTAAACCACTGTTTAAGAAACTTAGAATACTTACATTAACTGGTATTTATATTGAAGAAATATGTAAATTTACTGAATCTCACCCTGAGATGTTTGAAAGACTGGGAGATACATGCAAGTTCAAAACTAGATATCCTAATAGACTCATTATTCCTAGAATAAAAACGGAATTATATAGGCGAAGTTGCTATCATATGTGCATACAGATATATAATAAACTTCCTAACCAAATTAAAGAACTTCCAATGGTCCGCTTTAGGAAGGCTTTACGCAGCTGGTTTATTGAGAATTCCTTCTATACAATAAAAGAATTCCTTCAATTTAAATAAGCCAAATATGTACCAAAATTTGCATGTCATTATGTTATGATTAAATATGTTAAGCTACTATTATACTACTATTATAAGAACTTTTGTAACCATGTTTATCTGCAAATAAATCTTTGACTTTGACTTTGGTTGTAGGCTTTACGGGTCAGGTATCTATCTATTAATGAGTATTTTTCCACAGGTTAAAACTTTTGGTCGCTATTTCTATTAAATCGCAACCCTTTTATTTTCTGCAGGCGAATCCCAGGAAGAAAGATAGTTTATATAATTTGATAAATAACCATTGGCCTACAATAGTTTCTCTTGTATGTCGTCTCCTATCATGCAATAGTCAGTGAGATTGCTGACCTGGAATACACAACAAAGTTAATGCTTTAGGATATCCTCATTCGCAGCGTAGGTATTCGTAATTGCGCCGACTACTTCGTTAGGTTATATCTACATTATCATATGCTCGCTTACAACAGAATAGGGTTTGTACTTGGATACTGGAGTAGTGGTAAATTTCATAAAATAAAGAAATATGTACCTAGGTACAATAATTGATTAGGTACCACATTATAGGTATGCTTTTCTGTATTCTGAGGTTTTTGTATAGAAGCGAAAAGATGGTGACAGGCTGACAGTTAAGATATTGTCTAACCACGCAAAATTAACAAAATACAATATATTTGGAAGTTCTGACTTTATCACCGTCCATGTAACTAAGAAAATACTTAGCGAAGACAAATAGAAAATAAAATCTTATAAATCTGCATTCATTAACCAACGTACAGCCAGCATAAGCGCCACGACACAAATCTCTTCGAAATTACTCCACTCGCGCAAATTGCGCGGGGACCGAGTGAATTGCATCCGCCGATGAACAATGGCGCTTTTGCTTGGAGCAAAAAAAAATCTTCATCATTTTACCCTTCGTTATAATAGTAGGGACGTTGCGATATCTTTATACTACGGTACAACTCCATCGCGAATAATATGAGAAGCTCTTTTATTTTCAGGATTAAATAACCGGACACGTAATTAGCACAAGCCCACATGTGACCCCGCATTCTCGTTGTGTGTGCAGCGCTACTGTGTTGTGGTTAGGGGATAGGGATAGAGCAAATACGGTATATTATGAAATGTGCATACGTTGCGGTATCTGGGAATCCGTAGCATCCGCATCGCCGAACAACCGCTGCGTACAAATATCCAGCAGCCACCACCTAGTCACGTGCTCTGGTAAATGCCAACAGCCCGGCATTGCAATCACATCAAACACTCATCACAAACTCATCACTTTTTATAAAAAAAAAATGTTATTCACTCTTTATCATGTATAGAACGGTACTTTAGTTTTGATGACTGCATCGGAAACATTTTCCTATACCAAAACGGAGCGAAGATAATTCACACGTAAAACACGGAAATCACTAAAATGATTAACAGTTGCTTTCTTCCGGAATAGAAGAGAAAACCGACTTTATTACGAACATATAAATCCTGGTGACCCGCTTCGGCTTCGCTCGAAAGCAATTTTTATGTTTGACTCGTTCGTTGCACTTTTAATGTGGTTTATATTGAAACTTTAAAAATTAAATTATGGCACAACATGATAATATATTTTAAATGTGTTTTTTACTTTTTTATTACATTTGATCGTGTGCGTTTTGATCGAAAATATTCCCTTCTACAGTTTAATTTTGAAGAAATAACAACAAAAAAGAATAGTTAGTACATGTTATTGACAATAGTGAAAAAGGACTTGGCAGAGTCACTTCCGTGCTCCTTGATTAAGACTGAGATAAAACCATGATATCAGAAAAATCCTACTCGTATCTAAAAGTACCGACAGAAGTAAACCGCATCCATTTGGATTTAGTGAACCCTGGGAAATGAGAGGTAGGATTTACGAGCGCTGATGAAAATGTTCGACAAAAAATACGGATCGACCTGTTGAACACACAGAAAATAGGAGATACAAAGAATAAACACAGAGGGAATAGTAATTACAAAAGTTCTTTGCTTCAAAGAATAAAAATAAATAGAAGTTGCTCTTGCTGCTAACTAAGCGAACCGAATGAGGCACATCATTTGTTACAGAAAAGTAACTAGATGAAGTCTAGCGTCGTCATTAGGTTCTGTCATTAAGGGTCATTTACCGTATTGGGTAAAAATAAAGAGAGATAAATTGTTTATAATTACATAATTTTAACAATGCATTTGTCAACAAAATTGTGTCCTAAATAAAATCTAGGTAATTTTAATGTAAAGGAGGACAAATTTTTATTATAGGGTCTTTATCTCTACTACTTCTGCTGCAGCATATACTTAATACCTACTGACTCATATTACCTACATATAATGTAGGAACGTTATTTATCGTATGCAGGTTTAGGAGCTATATGAACGAATACTACTACAGGAACGTTACGATCCTATCTGCCATTTTATTTGTTTGAATTATGAAATGTTGGTACCTACATATTTAATAGAATGAAACTGTTTCGTTGAGATTTTAACAATATCAAATTAAAAGAACTCGGGTGCCGCTTTAATAGTTTATTTGTTAGAGATGAAATATTAAAAGTTTTTAAGTATAGTTTACTATGCCATAATGCAAAGATCGACCACAATATCGGTGCCGACGCCAACGTAACAAATTTTTGAAAGTAATTATTGGGGAATTATAAACGCCAGGTCAACGTGACAATTTTTTTAAAGTATTAATTGTGCAATTATAAACGTCAGGTCAACGTGAAAATATTTCTAAGCGAATATACCTTATAAGGGTAAATAATAAGAGGAAAAACACAAAAGCTTCTCAGCAAATATTTGTAAAATGAAGAAGCCGCTAGGCGTGATAAGAAAAAAACGCCTAAAAATGTAATCTTGACGCTATCCAACTGAGATTAAATTCTCTTGTCTGCGTTCATTATACCAAGACAAGATGACATGGTGCAATACAAACTGAGTTTTATTCGTAACTTTTATAAGTAGATATTCCGCGCATTTCCCAACTTCGTATCGAGCGAATATGGCTTTTATATTGTTTTTTATTTTAAAACCGCATACATAAAGTATTGATATTATAATGCTATTATTTTACGTGATTACGTTTATGACAAAATGCCTTATTAATTTTAATAGATTTTTATATTTTAAAATAAATATCTAAATATTTGCTAATATATGCAGCAAATAACAAACCATTTAAGTGTTGTATACCAATTTTCAAACCTCTTTCATATGGATCAACACAAAAATATACTAGTTCCGAGTACCTACTCTGCTGATCCCATTTCAAAACACGCGAAATACCGCTACTGTCAATAAATACCAACGTGTATTAATTACATTCCGATCTTGTTGAAATTGGGCCGAAGTTAATAAGATTATTGGAGTTAATTTTTCACTATTATGTGGTAATAATTTTAAAGGTTTAATTTTTTTTATGTCATTACTTGGTAACAATAGCGGGGTGAATATGTCGCGAGCACATTAATCGCAAGGACGACAAAGCGTCCGCGGAGGCTGCGTGCGGGCGGCGGACTGGCGCCTCGCCACCCTCTGTTCAACAGTTTGCACCCTCTCCCACGAAAACGTCACCCCTATTTCCTGTAAAGCCTACAATCCGCCTGTTACGCTAAAACTTTATTCATTTACTTTTTACGTATTTCTTAACAAGGAATTTAATTATAGACTTGTAAAATAAATAAATTCTTATTTTCTAAAGTTATCACATTATTTTAAATGATGTCATTGTAGTAGCTATGTAAAAAAGGTACTTTCCTCACACATACGAGATGAAAAATATAGGTGTAGGTCATAGAGGTCAGTGTTTATTATCAAAGCAAGTACCTATTCCTTAGCCATGTCCCACACTCCGTGAGTTCCCCCTGCTATTGTTATACCCATTTTTTTAACAATGAGTAGTTGTTTAATTAAAATCTATCAAACATAGAATATTACAAAGTCAGTAAGTAATGCTTTACCATTAGAAAAAAAAGTTTTTGAACATGCAACAGGAAAAAAGAAAAAACACATAACAAATGGAATAATTAAACTTTCAGCATCCTCCACTCATAATCAGCTCGAAAACCTAATTACGAGTGGTCCAAAGCCCTACTGCCAAACAAGGGATCTTGAAATTGTTATCCAGATAAGGCAGTTAGTTTAAAGAAATTGCAATTTAAGCAGTAGTTAGGTAAATTAGTAATATTCTTACTGAAAAGTTAAAGGGAAAACACAAATGTCCACATAACAAATGGTGATATTTTATTTCCCAGTAAAACAATTAAGCTGTGTTACTGCACTGACATGCACGATGTAGTGCAAATTACATTTGTAACTAGTTGTAAGCTTGTTTTTATTGAGTATTAAAAATGCAAGCACAGAATAGCAATCTAGAAATACAGAGTATAATAAAAATTTAGAAGACCAATTTTGAAAGGAAGATTCCAATAAGACAACACATTCAGTGCCCCCGACGCGTATGTGCGTTTCCTTATGCTACTCTGTGTACATTATGTATGTAATACATTAATGTATAGAACGCACAGGTGCGTCGAGGGCACACAGAGTAGCGTAAGGAAACGCACATACGCATCGGGGGCACTGGATGTGTTAAACTAGTTAAGGTTTTATTTGTTCGGAACTTTAAAGCAGACATATGATTTTTTAGCAATGAGCCCATGTTCGGCTTTTGTTTTTGCTGGTGGTGACCGATGATGAAACATGCTATGGAGTTTGCCTACCAATAAAGAACCTGATCACTTGGGCCTTCGAGTCACCCTTGGGGAACACACTCTCAGGCAAAGAATACCACTGCTTAGCAGTTCTAATAAAAAACTGTAAAATAAATTGCTACATGATTGTGTGTGGGATATCCACCATGAAGCAGTGCCAACTTATCATTGGTCTGGTGGTATGACAGTGGAAAGGACTAGAGGGAATCAAGTTGTACAATGAAAATGGGAAATAGTGCTGTTAATAGTTTGTATAAAATCAACAAAGTACTAGGTTTTTCAATTTATGTAGTAAAAATTAGAGATAACACAACTTGTAAAAAGTTTTTAACAGTTTAGAAACTTTGTCTGAGGTTATCAAGTTTTTATATAACTCGAAACTAATTTCTCGTTGTGCTAGTAAGACAACTATTCCCTTTATTATCTGATTCTATAGTACTTTCAGCTAAACATGATAAAGGAACAAATCAGGACCTAAATAATCATTGAACCATGAAATTATCAAAGTGATTATTGCGAGTTGCTAAGTTCGCATAAATTAATAACCAGGTTTGTTACATAGATTGAATGGTCCTATTTATGACTAGTACAACTTACCGGCTATGATCCCATCCATCTGCTGCAAGGCAGCTTCCAATAACTTGGAAGGATCAGATTCTGGCAAAGTTGGGTTGTTATCGCCATCAACTTCCGTCGTTTTTCCCATTACACTGAAAGTTATTAATTTTAAAGGTATAAAAAATGTTTTAATTTACTTTAAAACTTTTTTGCTCATGTAATAAATAAAGTTTTAGGAAATATTGGAAAAAGTTAACTTTTTGTCAACAAAACTTTGATTTTGACATTTGACATGAATGAACGACAATTAACGACATGGCTGACATTTTTAAGCAATAGAATTAGGTCATACAGCCTTTGATTTACAATAAAATTAAAAACGGACTGAGCCATTTTCTTATTAATTGCTGTTTAAAAAATTTCCTTGATTTTATAATAAAAAATGAAATAACGATATATTATAGGTATCCAGTGTCATTTTAAGGTTTTTACTTAATATTATTTATTAGGTTCACTTCCCAGCTACCCGTCTGCCTAGGCTACTAGGTGAGTGTATGAATCTCCTGAACCCGATTACCCAAATATATAATATATTTTTAAAGCTAAGAATATATTTTTTCTCATAAGTATGACGTATTTATAATACAAACATTACTTTTTTGCCTTTTTTAGCTAAGTACCGATAAGCCTTATCTAAGCAAAAGTTCATCTAAATACCGTTTTCCACTCATTTTCTACCTTATAAGGAAATTCCGTCCAAAGAGAATCCACTCACTACAGAGCTTACCTACTGATATTCAAAATATCCTAGTTTTCTTATTATTTTCTTACCAGCAGGTTAATCCTGGCTTCTTCCAGTTGGACATATTTTTTTACTATATCACTGGATAGGTTAAATTTGGTCTTCTAAAAAATTTTTATTGAAGCAAATGCAACGAAAAACGAATTAAGGCCCTTTTTATAGGTATCGTGGGTTAAGTAAATAGGTAAAGGTTTAGTGGGTGAATGGAACGCACTGAAGCATTCCAATAATAAATAAATTAAAATAGGCACCGGGGAGCTTTAATAACAGCGTTAAGACCCTTCTTAGCCACTCCGGCTTGAGAAGAGTCACCATGGCGTTCTCACCTTCCGCCTAACGCAGGTTCTTACACTCTTAATTAAGGACACTTAAGCATCGGTAGGTACGTGTTTCGGATCCAGCGGGAGGATACGTCCGGGTGTCGTCATTGTGAGGATCACCCGGAGGACATGGTGGATGTGTGCCCCGTACCCCGTAGCCCGTCGTCCACATCCGGTTCACTTCCGGCCATAGTGCGGGGCGAGTCTCCTCTTTCTGCGAAAAAGTGATGCTCGCTAAGGAGGAGGAGGAGCGCGTGAGGGACCTTACCTCCTTACGTCCTTTCCGCCGCAGTCGGCGACTCTGGGTGTTGGGGATCGAGCCTCCCTATACTGAGAATCAGATTTGCAAATGAGGTAGGTAGCTGAGGATAAATCGGTGCTTTTAACATACTTTTGTTTCTTATTTGTGATGGAATAGCTGTTCATATCTTTATATCATGCTAACTTATTTAATAGGTAAGTTACACTCTATGTCATGATGTATGAATCACATTAAATAGGGGGAAGGGAGAGTGCCTACTGCCAAACACATGTACCTATATAACATTATTATTTATAATAACATAATTGTCAGAGGGATTCCACAACCATTGAAATAAAAAAAATCACTTTAATGTATGTCATAGTTTATTAATATTTCATTAGACCCTTTACCAAATTATTATAAAGTAAATAAATAGAACTACATATTCGGTAGTAAGTACCACATGTTTATAATTCTTTATCGTCACAATCGATAACAAGTACAATTTTTAAATAAACTGCAAATAAACTTTTACCGCGAAAACAAGCATAACAGCCATTTTGTATAATTATATGTATTCTTCTATACATCAATAAATAACATTTGTTTAGATTTACCAGATTCTAATAGGTGTATATATAAAAAGGACGTGACAATTTTAAAAATGCACACATTTAAAATAAAATATCGTAATATTTATATAATATGATATTATAATCAATATTTAACTATTGATCTAAGGCACAATCTGCTACAATTTGATATAGTAACTATCACTCTTGATTCCAAACTGGTTCCTCGTAAGTAGTAACCCTATTTTATTTATTATTACAGTTTGATATTATTCTCTTAATATTGATATAATAAAATAACAGAAAAATATCAACGACAAATTCAATCTGCTTAGAAGTTACTAATTGCTTTCAACCATGTTAATTTCTCTATCTTATATTATTACATACATAACAACTTAAAATAAAATTATAATGTTGGTAAGCTGTGTTTTGGTATTAAGGTGAGGATCGCTACACTAAATATTCTGTTTTAAGATTAATTATTATATGGTGTATGTTATAGTGTTTATATAAGATACCACCAAATCTAGAATAATAATTATTGTAAGTCACGCTGCTCTAGTTTCAAAGTAGGAATCAATCATTTTCAATAGATGACAATAATTTTCAATCAGGAAAAATTCCCAAAAATGTAACTTTAAAAATACTGTTTGTATCTACATGATTAATGATTTAATTTTATTTCAACAATATTCTAAAACAACGTCGAATACTTTAGTTTATAATTTGTATTACTACCACACAAAAAATAAAATATTTACTTCAAATCGCAACAATCAACAATGTTATTGCTGCATTGCAAATAAATCAATAAAGAACCACTGCGTGATCAAGATTCACAGCTGTTTGCATGTTCTATTTTGATTTTTTAGCAATGCTAGCACCAATGTAATAGAAGTTAAATAAATACAACTACATCTTTAAACCTCTGCATTCTGAAAACATTTTATATTTAAGATCTGTTCTTAATTACTCCTAGAATCTATAAAATATATTACTCTATTAAATATTAAAGGCAATATCTATCATTAGATATGGACGGATTAAGTAAAGGCGCCCAACGGGGGTTACCGATTAATAATATTAATAGCTCTTATTCTAACCTACACTTGTATTAACGTTAAAATTGCGGCGCGACGGGACCAAAATATATAATAAAACACTCAAGTTCTACATAACCAACAATTGAAACAGCATAATATAAGAATCTCTATAAATAAATATGTGTTGCTCATTTCAGGTAACTCACTATGTCCATGCAACTCATGGACGGACTACCGCGTGCGCCGACTGCTAACCTAACACCAATGCAATAACAAAACAAAATAACTTCGTTGGTAAACATAATTTCAGTTCCATCTAAGTCAATTTAGTAAACTTATCAGGCAAGACCACAACCGATATTAAGTACTTAATTGCTAAAGGAATGTAAATCTCAGGTTAAAACAAACAATGGAACGGATTGACCGATGTCGTCGAATACGAATACGTGGTACAAACAATGTACCTAACATAGGAAATAACTTCTACACTATAAAATGAAAATACGTTTGCTTAAATTTAATTTAGTTAGTACGGTTTGTCTAAAAAATAGAATCTGATGAAAAGAAATTAATTTTATAACAAAGAAAGTGTAAAGATATAATTTGCTACAATATGATGATAAAACCGTTTACCACAAAGTTGAGCATTTCTCTTAAAATAAATAATTTACCTATTTTGATTAATCCATAAATAAAGAGCTTGAAACTCAAGTGTGATTAACCAATATGCCTGTTTGATAATTTATACAATAAGTAACGAATATTATGTCAACAGGCACCAATAAAAAGCACTTGCAACTTTCTGTGGAGTAATTCAAGCTATGAAAATGTATGTGAACTAATGTTATTATGCTTTTGTGCGAGTACAACACTCTACATGCTCCGTGCTTGAGCTTAATTGAGCAATGTGTGCTATGTATAGCCACTCTTAATTCATTGTTGTTTGATATTTTATAATATTATTTTAATTCTAGCTTTGTTAGTTTCATTCATCGCAATCATAACTCGAAACAGAAAGTGCTTTTAGACTATAATAAGTTTGTTGACTTTTTAAGTACACATATAATGAAATTTATAATTCTTAGAATGTATAATATAATATGTATTTTAGAAAAATAAATAATAATAACAACAAAATAATTTAAATTGTACATTAAGTATTAGTCGTGGACTTGCATCACATGCACTTTATAAAAGGAAACATAAATAAAAACGGAATGTAGAATTTATAATTCCTGTCTGTACACAATCACAATAATTAAACCATCACGGATTTATCATAGGCTTTGCCTTTCTATAACGTCTCAACAGCGAAATGTAAAAATATATATTAATTTGTACACTCTTCACCATAAGTTTTATTTTAATAAACATTTGTATAATTCACTATCGCACCAAAATACTCTAAAATTGTATTTTCTTTTCAATAACGGTAATGTACAGTTAAGTACTTTAAGAAAATAAAATAAAGATTTTTATTAATTTGAGTAGGTAGTCACTTATTCCCCACCAAAGAATGAATAAAATTCGTAAATCTCACGAAATTGGAATGTATCCGTCGTAATTTGGAATGTAAGTAATTAATATAATTAATGCTGAATTTCAGCATTCATATTATCCAAAGTCTTATAATAACTCAAATTTATAAGACATGATTTCATATAATTATTATTTTTCACCATATCATATCCCTTTTTATTTAAGTACTAAAATATCCATATAAATATCTCCGCACATTTAACTATTATAACCACTAAATAATTATACCTTGACATAATTTGCACTTTTAAATAAAATAGCTTCGGGGGGACGTTCAGCATATAGCATATTCGAAGCACTTCAACATACAGTGCCTGCTCTAATAATGAAAACAAGAAAAGAAACAATTAATTGTATCTAATCGTAGTATGTAAATAAAAAGGTGAAGTATCTTCGAAGTGCTTTACGGACTATGCAAACATAGCATACGACAAGTGCATCATCAAACTAAAAGTCAGTGATCGAACGGCCCCCCTGCAAACAGTCATTGATGGCTCTTGCTCAGCAGGTGGGAGTTGAACTCGTACACATTGCAGCACTGTTCGCCGCAAATGTTACATTTCCAAGGGTTGGAGTCGCAGTGGCAGCCCTTGTGCAGGAAATACAGAGTAGAGTCTGGAAATGTTATGGAGCAGAATGTACATACGAGGGATGAAGGCAGCATGGCAGCATCCCCGTGCGTCGAGGTGATCACTCCGCCTTCAGACGGAGACGCGCGAGAAGCCTGAAAGCAAAACAATACAGCTCAAGGAAATGTTATAATAAACTTTTACGAAAGAACACTTCCTAGTCTCCAGTTCAAATTTATAGGGAAAAGAATATTTCTTATTTAACTCGACATAAACGTACGCTAGAGCCCCGAGCGCGTCCACGAGCAGAGATGCGCCGGCGCAAATCTTCTCTTAATAAACTTTTTAGCGGTGACACCTTGATCAGAGATGACAGACTCGAGGATACGCCTCGTTTATCGCCCCCATTTGTTTCGCCTTCCCGCATTTCATTATTAGCAGACTCTTCTTGAGTGTTGGGTTCCTGGAAAATTGAAAATATAATATGCTTAGTATATTTAAGGTAATATTATAATAGTTTTGTATTAGACAATAATATGTTGAAAATAAGTTTATTCGTTTTCACAAAAACGGAAATGATTTAAAAAAAAAGTTACCTGTTTTATGGGTATCAACGTGATGGACGGAGTTATATTTGTGGGTAGTCCAGCTGATAGGGAGCTGCTAGCGATGGCGCTGTCGCCCGATTGAGGTGAGCTAGGCCCTTCGCCGTTCATGCGCGAATCTAAAACCAAACACATTGCAATGAATACTTAAAATAATCAATAACAAAGTTGTAATTAAAATCAGATTCACCTAAAAGCTACAATTCAAACTAATACAGTATATATCCTAGTTATTACATAACATTTATAAACATAATGTTACTTTCAGGTTAATCTGTGTTGGGTTGGCCTACAATTCTCGAAGTTGCAGAGAAAACTGGTCGCGTGTGTCATCAGGCTCGCGCATAAGTATGCCTGATATTTAGTGTAGGACATAACATGTCATTAATAACAAATAAATGAAACATTAACCATATTTATCTATTCATTATGTAGAATAAATTGCCTGCTTTGCTAAGTAAAAATTACCAAAAAATTTAATTATGTAACTAGCTCATTGTTATGAAAAAAACATGTCATACTTACCAGAGTTGCCTAAATGGTTCTGGCCAGGAGAGAATGTTTCGTTATTGTCGGCCATAGAAATCTCAACATGTGGGGTCAAGTAGTGCATGGGTGGTGTTGCATTGTCCACGGAGCGGGCGCCATTGCTTTCGCCACTGTCCGAGTATGTTGCAGCGACGGACACAGATAGGCTGGATCCCAGTGCACCAAGGGCGTTAATGGCGCTGGGATCCATTGTACCGTCGGCGTACGCGGCATTGGCTATACCAGCGGCTAGCAGAGATACAGATGAGTTGTTCCCAGGACCAGGGTTGTCCAAATCAATTCCATGTCTGAAAGATATTTATAAAAACCATAAAAAAAACATTGGGAGATAATTATGTAATTTTATTTATAAATAATAGTTACATATTGCTAACAAATATACAAAATAATAGCATACCTGTTAAAGAAGTGAACCCTTAGACTTTTCATGGTGGGTGCACGATAACTACACAAGGGGCAAGTTTTAACGAGGTCATGTTGTCCAACGTGTTCGTTTTGGAAATGTGCGCGCATGGCAATTTGGCGCTGGAATCCTCGGTTGCAGATTGGGCAATGATACGGCAAGCTCTTGGTATGAGTAGTGAAATGTTCTGCCAAATGATCTTTGCGGAAGAATCTTTTTTGGCAAACGCGACATTCATACGGCTTCACTCCCGTGTGCCGCATTTTATGTCTACGCATATTGGCGCCATTTGAAAACTTCATGTTGCACACGTCGCATTCAAACAACTTTCTGTGAGGCCGGGGGTCAGCATTTTGAGCAGCTGCCACATTATTGTTGTCAGGGGAACATTGGGCCATGTGGGTGGTTAAGGCTCGACTACTTAAGGTACTAAAACTATTACATGTGGTACATTTTAGTAATGTACCACCTCTTTTTGGAGTTTCTTTGCTGTTGGTGGCGACCTGAAAGAAAACAGCTATTATATTTTATGAGTTCCTAAAATATTCTACTTATTACCTTTAAGAAGATTGTATAGAATCTTTCAAAATATAAATAAGTGTTTTATAATGTACATAAGTAGTAAACAAGTTAGCAGTGTAAACAACACAAGACAACAACACTAGTCAATTTTTGAATCACATGTCACAATCACAGTTTTGAATCACATGATGCCTACAATGCATTTAGAGATGTGGAGATCAGCTAGTTAATTTATTTTCCTCATAAATTAACATGAATATGAAAATCAAAACTTTAGAATATCTAAGTAAAAGTGGCTCCATTTTAGAAAGTGAAACAAAATTTTAATCAGATTCCCAGTTACAATTCTAGCTAAATGTCAAACGTACATTTTCTCTAGAAGGTTACCTTATCAAGTAACGATAATAAGCACAGCTTAGGAAGTTGAATCATCACATCCGAAACCACCATCTCAATATGAATGAAAGTTAAGCAAGTAATATAGTATATAGCTTATAAATAATTAAGTTACCACACTGTAAAGTTGCTCTAAATCATGAACAAATGTGTTTAACAAATCACACACACAAATACTAAGTATATTTAAATTTAATAAATGTGAAAATGTTTGTTGCAAAAATTATTCCTAATGAAAATTATATCTGAATTGGTCAACAAATATTTTTTTAATAATAAAACTAAATTACTGTTGCGAACTTCACAAATGGCTATCACATCACATCATTAACTAAAATATACTTAATTTGAAAATAATTACTCTGATGTTCTTGGCAAATATTATGCTATGAATATACCTTTGTGAAATTTTCTTTATTTTATTCCCGGAATATATTACATAACATAAAAAATCTAATTATATTTCTACTTTAGCTACAGCTATTGGTTAATTAGCTAAACTAAATGGTAAAGTTTATATACTTTATTAAAATAGCAGACCAACCTTGTGAGATATTTTAATTATTGTTTTGAGAAGTCTTAATGGGAGAACTTATTATGTATATTTATCAGACTATTTAACTTATATAATAAATATATATGACATTGCTAAAACCTAGGAAGAACCAATGCCAGACATTATGCTTACCATTTTAGCAACTTGTCCTACTTACACCGAGACCAGTTTAACATTGGATATTTGATTAGCTATACTTTCCCATTTAATTTAATTTAACATGCTATTTAGTAGCAAATATAAGCACTCTTTAAGACTGATTTCAACAAAAAATTTACAGACCTAATCTTTCTTTTAGATTTCTTTCACTAATAGCCCAGCAAACCATGATAAGGTAATTTTTAGATTAGTGATATTTATCCCGTAACTGATCTGGCGACACACTTTTGAAGTGAACCAGACTAGTCCACAATTTAGATACAGTTAACAAATGAGCTTACTAACCGGTTCATTTTTGACTGCTGATAAATTTGGTGACACGGTGCCGGAGTCGGCCTCTGTTTCCCCTTTTGATGACATCACATTACCATGTAGTGAGCTTTCTGATCATCACTCTCCCGCCTTCCAAACTACGAAAACATAAACACGTCAAAACCACACAATTTATGCTATTTATTAACGCCAAATAACACAAAGCACACTAATTCTTGTCCAAAAGAAGTCTAAAACACAAAACAACTTGTCTCTCATAAGAATGGCGAGGTGACCCATTTACGAAAACATACGAATTATCTACTCACAATATATTACTTTTTATACACTATCTATCGTATTTTATGCTTAATTTCATATTGCATATAAAGTATAACAAATTCAATAGCTAATGCTCACGGTAATAAATCACAAACTCACGTTAGCTTGATACGTCGACAACCAGAACAGCGGTATTTTAGGGAGAGATCGCTATGTGGCCTAATTCAATGCTTGAGTTCGATGCACAAAATACGTGTTACGCGTATAACTGTAAATGCATAAATAAGTGGTTTCTCGGTTTACTTGTGTTATTTTGGTTTTACTATGCAATGACAGTATTTACTATGTTCTAAGGAGGATTTTTGTTGAAATTAAAAACTTTTAACCAAAACCATTTTGATAAAAAACCGAACACCTGTAAAGTGTTTTTTTCTTTTCCGAGATTAACTTATTCTTTTCTGTGGCAACATAAAATTAGTCGTGACGTCAGAGTGGTTCCGATTGTCTCAGTCAGATTCATTATTCGATCTATATTTCTATCTCTGTTTCTCCGACCTTTTGAATTTACAAGAATTGCAAGAGTCAAAAATGTTTCCTTTAAGTTTTATACATTTATATTATTATAATTATGGAAAAATAATTCATGTAATTATATCAATTTAATTTTCAATATTTTAGTAAAAATTATTAATAGTGTCTGCTTTGCACAAAGTATATTGAAAGATATTTTTCATTTTCACAAAAAGCTGAAACTATTTCAGTTTTAATTAAAGGGGACAAAGAAAGCTAAACTTTTCTGGAGCCCAGTATCCAAAATAACCCCAGAAAGTAAATAAATAAGGTTAATTTTTTTTTAAAAATTGCCTTTTTCATGAAACGGTGTTTCTTGACCGTCAGCTGTTTCATTTGACGCATACTCCCATACCTACCTTGCTTTTTTGTCATCTCACATTTGACATCTGTATATTTGTCTTCATTTACGTCAATTTGTTGTCACAAATACAGAGAAACAGAAACTTGCACTAACATTGTGAAATACATTCTTATTGCTGTTAATGATAAGTTTATTGTTACTGTGGAAATTCGTATTTCATTATTTGCGTTGCCATAGGCTTTTTTGACCTAAGGGCTCACATGCGGAATCGAAGAATAAAAAGTGAAGAAAGTATTATGTTTGGCACGTAAAGGGTACAAAATAGTTTCGTTTTATAATGTGTTCTTCTACAATTTTATCTTTTTTAAGACAGTGGAGACTTTGGATTCGGCCTTTCTTGATAGCACTTTATGTTGTATTCATTATTGTACTAGTACCTATACTCATCGCCCATTCCATAAACAATGGATTTAAGAAATCCGATCAAGGTTCATTGGTGGGTGGAGGGTTTGTTCTTCTCGCCGTACCCATCTCCATATGGCAAATAACACAACATGTTGTACATTATACAAAGCCAATATTACAGAAACATATTATAAGGTAAGCTATGCAAATGTAAATGTACCTAATTTGATTATGATACTTAGCAAAGTAAAACATAGAACAAAAACTAAGTAGGTAGGTACATTACATAGTAAAGTTATCATAATATATTATTATTTCAAATATGCGACTATTTTGCTAAAAATAGAAAAAATATTGTACTAGGTAATTGAGTTAATTAATTTTTTTCCTGTAAACTGAGATTAATCACTATTGAATGTACTTATTATTTTCCAGGATACTATGGATGGTACCAATTTATGCTTTAAATGCTTGGATAGGCCTGGAATTCCCAGAACAATCAATTTATGTTGATTCTCTAAGAGAATGCTATGAAGCTTATGTAATCTATAATTTTATGAAGTATTTGTTGAACTATCTTAATGAAGATCATGACTTGGAGGCACTATTGGAGACTAAGCCACAAGTTTACCACATTTTTCCTCTTTGCTGTTTGTCACCGTGGGAAATGGGAAGGTAAGACTAGCTGGGAATAGTAATTTCTGACAATAATGCCCAATGATATTATAAGACTTATAATATCATTGATAATGCCATTAAGCAATTGTATCTCAAACTATTCCTATCTATTGGGAACTACACTGATGATTAAACATGAGCAAGAACCTTATAAATATGTTTTTAATACTTATCTTTATTTATTTGTTTGTTACATTTTTGATACCAGAAGATATGATTTTGATTAATATCTTTCCTACTTAAATATAGAACTAGATAATAATAATGATAACTTTTAGTTGACAACTAAATATAATTTTAGAATATTCTAGATTAACTGTCTAGGTTTTATAATATTTTTTTATGTGTGGAAGCAATAACCTTTGCTCATTAAGTAAGGGTTTGTCCAAGGTTATCTATTATACTTGACATGCTTGGTTGAATATAAATTTGTTATCTTCAAGTTTCCAGTTTGCAGCTGTACAATACAACTTTTATAAACAAAGATTAAAATGTGTTACATATGTAATAATACAATATATCACATTGGGGTATTTATTATATTTTAATGCACAAATGAATGTGAAAAATATAGAATCATACTAAAAAGCCATTATCCCATTGTAAAAACTAATTGGAATGTTACTGTGAGGGTCAGACTTAGTTCAATTATGAAACATATTTTGTATGAATAATGTGCTTTATAAGTTTCTTGTAACTTAAATATACATAAGTGGTAAAACTAATTCAAAACCATTTTATACAGAACCACCATTGTCATAGCTACAACTAAAATTATCAATCAATTTTTTGTTATCATTGTATCCACTCAGGTATTTTGTAGTTAGTACTAGCAAATAATAAATAGTTAGAGTAGCACAACAACATAATTACACAAGTTGTAATGATTAGTGATATATTTTTTTTTGTGTTTATCAATAGGAAATAAATATGTACTTATATTTTGTTTTAGTGAATTTGTTCACAACTGCAAGCATGGAATTCTTCAATATACTGTAGTGAGGCCAATCACAACTGTTATATCAATGATCTGTGAACTATGTGGGGTTTATGGAGAGAGTGACTTTAGTCCAAAGGTTGCCTTCCCATACATGATAGCCATCAACAATTTCTCACAATTTGTTGCCATGTACTGTCTTGTATTGTTCTACAGAGCTAATAAAACTGAATTAAAACCTATGAAACCAATTGGTAAATTCTTATGTATCAAAGCTGTGGTCTTCTTCTCTTTCTTGTAAGTTTTTTATTATAATTTATACATTTTTTTCATCAATACTTGAAATCCGGAATAATATTTAATTTTCGATTTCCAGCCAAGGAGTAATAATTAACATATTAGTTTATTGCGGCGTGATATCCACAATATTTGATATCTCAGATTCGGATAAGATAAAAATCATGTCTTCAAAGTTGCAGGTCAGTTTTCATTTTATATTATTAGAATTATTAATTAAGATACAAAACGACAACTTGTTGACCTTGAAACCCATCTCCATTGAATTTGAATATTAAATTATCTTCTATCAATAGACACTTAAAAACGACTTAGAAACTATTGGTAAGAGTTTTGTAATTATTTCAAAAGTATTTTACGCAATGCTGAATTAATGGTTCTTGCTTACGAGCTGTGTTTGGTAGTAAATAAATAGATTAATCAGATAGTCCTATCGGTCTAGTCGCTACAACGTAGCATCATGCTTCTCAGCCGGGGTTGCGGGGTAAGCGCAATGAGGCACCGCGACCTCGGCCCAGAGCAGGAGAAGGAACAGGGGGGTTTTTAGTCAGTAAGAGTCTGACACTTCCTCCCGCCCAGGGCGGGAGAAGCCATTTGATGATTTTGCCCTCACAAAAAAAAAAATGCTTCTATTCCCTTTTGGGATAGGCAGATATGTAGTATATGTCTTTCACTTAATGCCCATAGTGATGCTATGTAATCTTTACTATTGAGAATTTTGGAACACAAGATTAAGATCTTACTCAGTTGTGTTTTCGTCCCTTCTACCAACAAGGCATCATTGCTAGGAGCACTAAGAAACATACAAATTACACTTTACAATCAGATTAGGAACATAGTTTATTGTAACAAAGAAAATGTTATTTACAGGACTTTCTGATCTGCATAGAAATGTTCTTAGCAGCAATAGCTCACCACTACAGTTTTTCATACAAACCATACGTCTCTCCACAAAACCCGTCGCCTTCATGCCTTGGATCTTTCCTCGCTATGTGGGATGTATCTGATGTCAAGAGAGATATATCCGAGCACCTTGGCGTTGTTGGTATGTAACCTTTATTACCTAGTTATACAATTTTAGAACTATATAAGTATCTTCAAACTAAAGACAGCGTTTAAGTAGGTAGGTAGATATACGATAAAACGCCACTAGAACTGATCTAACAGTATATTACTTATGAATTAACTGATTGTCCTGATTATTTTATCAACCTACTGTTTACTTATTCCAACAGGGAGCTCCTTCAGTCGAAGACTCCGAGGTAAATCAATGTACCAAATGGCGCGCGGTTATGACGAAAGCTCAAGATTGGTGAGCGAACAAGCAATACCATCTAGTTCAGCTCCTAATCTCACCGTGGATACGGAACCACCTGCTGTGGAAGTGCGTCCGTCCGTCTACGGATCTCTTGATAACACTATGTCCGCTATATCAACGAACTCTGAAACACAACCTTTACTCGACTACGATGAGCAAAATCAAAACGACCCGAAAGTATAAAAAATGTGATATAAACTTTTTCTGCTTACTGTGAAATCGAATATTAGTGGCTTGGTGCTACATAATGATAATTCTTATAATAAATACATCACAATATAAGTACCGTATCTAAACAGAGATATTTCTAAATTGTACATTCCTTATTTTACACAACCAAAGTATCAACACCCAGAATTGTTGTTTTTCTTAGTATATTTTATGATCTGCAAATCTATCTTATAAAAGTAATATAATGAGTAATAATAATAATATTAGTATAAATTGTGATATTTACGTTAATCTGACTATAATGTAATTAATTATATGTTAAGTTTTAGAAATAAACATTTGTTTTCTTTATCTGAAAAGTGAAAACCGAAGCCTAATGACTTGGTACAAATAGGACGTGTTTATTAATGTTAGTGAAAAATAATGGTCTGTTTTTATACCATTCATCGAAAATTAATAGAAAAATGATTGCGTTATTATACTGTAACAATTGACCAGTAACAGGACCGATAAAAGGCGAGAAAAAGTTTCGCAGTCGCCCCGTGGGCCATACTCACCGTAGTAGGTATTTCTTGTTTGGTAGTGTGTCTATATTTTATGATCGGATTATACTAATCTTCAAATAGTTTATAACTATTTTAATTTTAGATTTTAAAACTATTTACCTCAAAAATAGGCATTATCACATGTTACTCATTTTTTTTAAATTGATGATTTATTATCTTACCAATTTTTCGACAGTAGAGTTGCAATACGAGCTGTCTGCCTATCATATACCTTGGGAGTGTAATCTCTAGCAGAACGAACGTAACCCTATTTTAGATAACGACGTAATTATTTTAATAACTAGGTGTAGTATAAGAACCTTGTGGGATGTAAAAAAAAAATTGTCAATTCATGCGGTTTACAGAAATTGCAACTGTTTTTGAAGGTTATAGAGGGTTTATCCAAAAAATACAAAAGCACATAACATAATTTGATTTTTATTGATAATTATTGTGTACATGTCACGTTGCATTGCTTTATTGTAGTGAAAATTCCAAAATATGACCAAAAGGAAAAAGGCTCCTCAGATCTAATCTTTCAGTAGGTACTAAAAAAAAGGTTGCCCAAAGGCTGTAATGTCTATTTAGTTAAATAACTTCCAAGTAAGTATTTTTAGTGCATGTTGTTTTGCTTGAAGGAAAACAGACAAGTTTAATATTATTGTTTCTTTGAACATGTGTATTATTTTTAGAAAATAGTACTCTTTCTTAGTTCGTGCTCTATGCGACTAGCTACTTATGCTTAGTTAAAAAGTGAATTTCGATTTTATTATTTAAATACCTTCAGCAGTAAGAGAATATTGAAGTAACTTCATTGGAATTAGTAGTTCGAGATCATGAAATGCTTTAAATGCTCAATTGATTTAGATAAGAACAATTAGATTATTACATAATATACATTAAAATAGTCATTCATAAAATAAAGTACATTATAGATTATTTAATTAGTTAGCAATTAGTATAATTATAGCGTGGTACTGTCAAGATCAATATAGTATTGTGTGATTAACAAGAAATACTGCATATATGAATTATCATTACATTTCTAGGCCAGCTCACAATCTTACTATTCCATGGTAATAATTGCCTAGTTATATATCATTACTTCATTTACTTATTGTCTAATCAATTATTAAGTAAACAGCCTCATAAGAACGTTATAACGCGGATAATAGAGGAATGTTCAAATTCCTTATTAATAATATTGTATTTAATTTATCAATATATTATAATATGTACTCTTTGATATGCCTTTAGATAGTAAGTCATTCATCATCGGTATGCATTGAAGCCGAGTTTAGTCAGTGGCCATCTTTGATTCAATCCTTGTCCTGCAGAAATTTTCCAAAGCAGTCAATCCAGCCTTCAAGCTGTTCATTTCGATTCTATGCCATAGTGATCCCATTATAAGATAGTAGAAACAAAGTCCAGTGATGAACAGTTTGATTACGTCATAAATTATACTGTTTGGCCAATAGCCAACAGTACCAATAAGGAACATTAGGATCAACCCACCAACTGTCAAGTACAGTGTTTTAGATTTAGACAAGTTATTCATTGCTTCTTCACAAACTTTTATAGCTTGGGTAGCCGTGTCATCGAAGGTGTCGCCAATGTTCGTTTGTTTTTCTGCAGATTTATTGTCAACTGGCTTCACAAGTAATTCAACAGAGACTGCATTGTGATCAGAATAGGAGAAGTCTTTGCCAGGCACTCTATCAGGTAATGGGTTGCCAAATTTGATCACTTCAGCCTGTAAATAAAAAGTTTATATTGACATCTTTTCATTAATGAGTTGTGCAAGGCTATTTAAAGGCTAAAGTCAAGACTTGCTGAACCAATTTGGTACATTAGTGAGAAGTGATCCTAGGATCAGCCTTTTTTATGCCAGAATATTTTTTGCATTCTTGAAAAGCTTGCATTCATCCTTTTAATAATATCGTTTAGCGCATTTTATTAAAATAAGTTTTTGTTAGTTTTCTTCTGTTTTCTAAGTTAGGAAAGAGAAATGGGTGTTTTATTAATAAAATTGTTTTTACTAAAAATATAACGTTTTTAAGTTACTAATTCATACGATATTTAAAAAAAGTATCGATTTCGATATTTCGACAAAAGTAATAAATGTATTAGGAAAGGAGAGGAGTGGGTTAGTCAGTAAGAGTCTGATACTTTCTATGACTTTGACCCCAACAACTACTCCCATCCAGTGTTGGGCAGGAAAAGTTATTTGATGATTTTCCCATCACAAAGAAAAGGTTTGATATTTCTCAAAACTCACCTCCCAAGCAGGATTGAGTTTATATAAAATATGATCTATTCTCTTTCCCTCAGGACAAATCTTCACTTGATTAGGATCTGAATAGCTATTATTAGCACTGTCACAAGTTCCAAAGGTTTTTGGTTTAGTTGGGTCCTCAGTGAATGGGTCTACCAAAGGCGGTAACTGCGTGACTATCCTGTAAATGAAAAAGAAAAATAAGTAAACAATAATTGCACATTGATGGGGATGAAGAATGGAGTTTTTGATTCAACTCCCAGGTCTAAGAGTATTCATTTAAGTTTTCGAATTTTCTCAGTCTGTGCCCAGCAAATATATAGTTGTGTAGCACCCAGTATTAAATACAGAACTCGTAGCATAATTAACTGGCAAAACTTTGTTTCTATTATTTTGGAAACAAAATACTTGATATTGATGTCTTTTCACATCATTCCGACAATAGAGCAATAGAGTAAAGAATAAGTATTTTACTTGAAGGATAAATCTCCAGGTCCAGTGTTGAGATCTCCAGCTAGTATAGATATGTCAGCGGGTGCTGCAGTCAAGTTGACAAACTCAGCTGTTGAATAGGCTTGTAACATTCTGTGAGCCAAATAAATATCATCTTCATGGTACTCTGCATGGAGCTGAAATTAAAGATAGCACCATTTCTACAATATTACATTACAAATTTATTGGTAAGGAGTAATTACTATGATATACTGATTTTTTTTTATATATCTTTATTTTATTTAAAGTCCAGACAAAATAAAAAATAATACAGTGATTAAAATTAAATATTAACGTACAAATAAATTCAAAAGTTAGTGCAATGTATGGTTGTATAATAAAATTCCTTTGAGCTAAGATAGGATTTACCATATTATTATTTGTTAAGTAGTATTGAAAGTGTTTGAGGCAATCCAAAGAAAAATTGAAAATTGTTTACTATATAATGTAAAATTTTGGTCAGTAACCATAACACATTTGTACATAGATAGCTACATAAATAATGGCTGATAGCTGATAATGGTAATACCAAAATGCTGTCAGTACCACAGATAAAGAATCATGTCCCAGTTAAATTGACAATACTTGTTATCACTCACTTTACATCACCTCAATTTTGAGACTACTCATACCAAGGAAATCCAAAAATGCAAAATTTTCAGTTACTCAAGCATGATAGGAAAATCTTATATAGGAAAATCTTGAATTTTGAGAAATATAAATAATTGTTTAATTACATTTCCTTCCTCCTACAGGGGGGCGGGGGGGGGGGGGGGAAGAATCAATAGCATCATAACTTTTATCTTAGAGCATGACAATTTTTTTATATTTATATTTTTTTGCTTGTGCATCCAATTATTTGATTATTGTGTTTTTTGTATAACATTGGGTGATTGTATTGTTGGTGTGCTTATTTTTAAATAAATAAATATGCTTAATATATCTCAGATAATGAAAGGAATGAATGTCCTATCAGTTCAGAAGTTATAACCAACAATAGTTAATTCCATAGTTAATACATTTTGATTGCAAGATGTAAGTGTGGTGTGTGTTTAAGTGATATAGGTACTCACTACTCACATGTGTACAATATACATTAATTAGTCTGTTACCATACTTAATACGGCAGAGACCAACTCCTTTACCTCCAAACCAATCTCCATGATGTATCTTGTGAATGTAACCATTTAAGGGCCATTGGTGGAAGAACACATCTTGCATTAACCATTTTGAGAATATACACAGACCTGACCCCAGAACACCACTGCAAAGTAAGAAAATAATTTCAACACTTTCAAATTTTCTTCGGCATAATAATTCATAACAAGTTTTAATTGGTATGTATAAAATTGCTTGTACTTGAATTTTTTACCCCCTTTCCAATGTAATAAAAATAAATTGGTAAGAACTTATTTACCTGTAAAAGTAGTGTGAATAAGGGAGGTTGCTTTTCAAACAATCTTTTAAATATAAATAATCTTTTTCACTCCAGACTTCTTGAAGACAGACTATTGTATGAGAACTTTCTTGTAAGTACTTAGCTATGGCTTCAAAACGTTCTGTTCGATTTTTTGATACTACTGGTATCCCCCTGAAATGGACACAGATCAGATAATATGGAGATACAACATCACACTGTATAAATTGTAAGAGAGATAGGCTGTGACCTAAATTTTAATTAACATTTGTTTTTGAGTACATTGGTTTCAATAAAAAGTATACATCCTCTAATTAAGCTTTGAAATTGGCCTTGTCAATCATCATTAAATAGGTATGAAAAGTTTAATGATTTTGCTCAGTTACACCATAATAAAAATTGGCAATAATTTATTGTATTGCATTTATGTTGACCCTTAGTGGAAAGCTTACTTAAGTGACCTTTAGTGTACGTGTGGAACAAAAATGAAGGAAATCTTTTATGTCAATAACAACCATTGTAAAACTGCGAATATTATTATTCATTGAGCAGTACTGCAGTATTAGATTAGCATGCAAACTTACCAACAATTTAAAGTGAAGATATTCAAATGAAATTCCATTGTGTTAGAGGCAATTCACTTTGCTTGAGAGGACTTTCTATATAAATTAAGGAAATATTTGCAATCGGGAACTAAGTCAAAGATATATATTTGTTCGAAAAATAAACTTTAAACTTCCTAGTTACCTACCACTGCATCGGCTTTTATATTGTGTCAGTTTGTAGTTTGTCATCAATCGCAATTCACATTACCCTATCTGTCAAATATTATCTCTCTGTCACTGTCAACGTCATGTGATCACAACGTCAAGGTGTTTGTTTTTGTCATTGAGATAGAAAATATATAGAGGCGCCGTGTTACTATAGAAGTATACATGCTTATACAAATATGAGGGAAATATGAAACAAACTATGAAATATCATTTTTTCTCACTCTTTCTAAGGCAATAATTGTATTAGACAAAAGGGACAACAATATTTAAGTTGTTGCTTAATATGGAAACGAATCATTTTGACATTAGCAAAGTTGTAGGTAAGTGCCATGTCCGCCATCTTAAGCGCTCAGAGTACCTGAGTTTCATGGTAGTTGTCCTGTCAAACGGTTGTTTATGTTTTAAATTATTGCGGTTTTTCAGTAAATTACAAAGAACCATTTTTTTAAACTTCAAATATATATAGTGAAACAAAAACACAATATGCCTGTGTGTTGTATTGTGCAGTGTGGTGCAAAAAAGATCGAAAATCAACCTCAATTGTCTTTGTATAGGTTAGTAAACAGTTTTCATCAAATATTACTTCGAATAATCCACATAGATAGAAAAAAATGTCACGGATACTTTAATCTATTGCCAAAGTATATATATTTACTTTTATTTCTGTCTGTGAGACAGTTTTAGTAAAAAATTGTTGTTTACAATAATATGTCAATATGGCATAGTTACGTACCATTTCACAAAAGTATCGATATAATCTCCCATTTAAAATTCAACATATATTCTACTAAATAATCTATTTTAACAATGGATGTCTCCGCAGTTTTGTGTAACGCTAAAGTAAGACGTCAGTATTTTGGTATTGGTTTTAGTTACATAAGTAGAAGTTCAAATTATCATGTTTTATAATTATACAGGCGCGATTGACAGAGCGGCGTTCCCGACGATCCCAGTGCGACCACCAAGCGTAATAATAAAAAGTGGGATACATACAATAAGATTGACTTCACTACATATCTATTTTGTGCTAACGTAGTTTCGAAGATATCATCGCTTAATCAGACGCGCCGAAATTGTGCGCGAGCATTTCACAAATACCCACATGTTTTCCACATATATAAAGATAAACATTTAACAAACACTATCTTTTTCTATTTCACCATTCCATTAAACGCTGTTCATAAACACAGTCCTATTTTTTTAAAAGACGCTTTACGTAGAATTATATGAATACAAATTCGACTTGAGAAAATCATTAGCCAATCAAGAGACCAAGTTAACCCCGGGTTCCGGGCTCTAGCTAGGCCGACGGCAAAGTAGGAACAGGAGTTGATTTTAGTCAGTAACGGTCTGTCCCGAAAAAGGCCGGAGATGACATTAGATGATTTCCCATAAAAAATACCGTTAATCAGCTGGCTAATCCCTAAAACTATACCTACGTAGAACTTTTACTCAAATTGTATCGATACTCGTTAAATACTTAGTCGGCACAACCCTAGCAACGGCAGCCATCTTATGCGACATTTTGGATTGTAGGTAGGCACCTTTTTTTCGTAGGTATTTCAAGTCCATATATTTCCTATGTCAATGGTTTTTGTTTGCTCAAAAAATGTAATGTTTGCTGCCTTTATAACTTTTCGCACCTTGAGGATGAGTAAACATTTGTCACAAAAGAAAAGATGCGAAAAATAGCAAGAATGAAATGGCACTTAGACTAATAAAATCTAAATCATCATAATATCGGCTACCCATTGTATAATAATAATAAGTCCCTGTTGAGGCTGTTGAAGTAGGTAGGTAAATGACACAAAAGGGGATATCCCGGTACCGCGATCGCGACAATCGATTCTGAACGCACTTATACCGCGAAAGTTTTTTTTTTTCTATTTTCGTCCCTGAAGTTTAAATAGGCCCGGTATCTATAATTGGGTAGGTACAATATATACAGCGAGCAGTAGCTACGTCTTTGTACTACCAAAGACAATATAAGCACTATGTTTAGTACTACTTTCACGAAGTTCACAAAAATAAATAGCAAAAAAATCACTAATTATCTGTAGTGATTTTTTAGCTATTTCAAAACTTTAATTTTATGAAAATAAAATGTTATTGTAACAAATGCCCATCCAGCACTCTAGAAGACGATCTCCGGCCACCGAAAGCGCGGCTTTGCGGACGGCTAGTAGGTAAGGGTAGCTAGCCACCCGACCACACCAGACTCGAGCATACGACGCGTAACGTTCCGCGCGCGCCTCAAAGACCCAATAAATCACCACAGATGGGACATATACGGCTACGGCTGAAGTTCAGCTTAAGTTGCGGCAATTGCAATAAGGCACCGCGGCCTTCGCCCGAAGTAGGAAAAGTGGGGGTTAGTCGGTCGGTAAGAGTCTGACGGTCTCGCCTTGTCCACCTATTTGATGATTTTTCCCTGACAAAAAAAAAAACATTAATTTATGATGTTCTCAAAAAAAAAAAAAAAATTAAAAAGAACATTGTTTCTTCTAAACTACTGTGTATTAAATTTATTACATAAAACGAATCACAAATAATATTAAGAGTAATTTTCGCTCAAATTTCTAGCAACTACCATTAAAGTAACATTTATTATATGTCTAGATATAATGTTAAGATTACGACATTTAATTACCTACATATTCAATAAAATTTATGTTCTTAATGCTAATAGGAAATATTTTCATATAGTTTTCTAAATAACAATAATGTACTTCAACTTTTTACTTTTATGTGATAAATGTCCTACTAATAATTTTTGTACACACATTCAGAAAGAAATAAATGTTTTGACTTTGTTATGGTTCAAATCATTTTCTTAGCAGATATGTATAAAATATTACCATGTCTAATAATGCCAATACAAAAATCTTTAAAAGTTGCTGTTTCTTGCTGCACTTCCGTGCGGTATATAGTATAACAAAAAAATAAAAAAAATCAAAGAAGTAATGAAATACAAGAAAGTGTCAGCACAATTACTTAGTTCTCTAAGTCTTATAGTTTCTTCCGAAGATAATATAATTAGGATACCTACACTATCTGTCAATCTAGAATTCTAGAAGTCATAATCAAAGCAGGATAATTATAAACTATGTGCAACTGTACCATAGTAAATATAATATGGTACTCCTGCCTCAAAAACATGTGGTCAAAGAGTAAATTTAAGAAGATATCTTATGATAAGATTGCACAGTAGTGCAAAGCCTTTTTATCTTCCCAAGTTATCCTTATATAAACTATTATAGCCTTAATTAATTATTAGATACTGTTCAGACATGAACATCAACCTCAACTTCAATGTGTTCAGGTTGTTCGGACATATTCACGAGTGTGTCTGAAGTAACATGAGTATTTTCAGGTGGAGCAGGCAATCCAGACAATTTGAGAGCTGTAGATACTTTGAAAGTTCCTTCGTCTTTCCGAGGCTTCCGCTCCTTGTTGCTATCTGGCACTACTGGTGAATTCACTTTGTTATGTAACTGCATATGATAATTTAACTTAGCCTGAAACATTTTTGTTATGAAAATTGTTGTACCCATTTAAATTTAAATAATAAATAAAATGAAACTTTTATCCAATTCAATAAAGTTTACCTTAGTGGATAGTTCTGCCTGACAAATTGTGCATTTGTGATACATTTTCATGTGGTTCACCAAAATATGCTGCTTCAGATTGCTCTTTCTAGAGTAAAACCTAAAAGCAAGTTAAATAAAATATCATAATAAAAGAAACATAAGAAGGAACGACAAACTATTTATTAATTTTGGTTGTTTTATTACCTTGGGCAATCTTCATAAGGACAGGGGAATGTTTTAGTAATTGTTTTCTGTCCATGGGTTTTAAGATGTCTTACCATGTGAACTCTTTCTTTGAATGTTCTCTTACATTCGTTACAAACAAACACTGAAATATAATAAAAAATAAGTATGCAATTTATATTATTAAATTTTATGAATATGATTGATGGCTTTTATTCCTAATTACTTCTAATAATTAGTTGAAAATATATTTTCACCTTCGGCGTCCTCTCCGGCCGAAGGTGACGGGAACATACGACGCTCAGCCCCACCGGGGAGAAATAAATTAAATTTCGGATGTATAACAGTGACATTGCTCTCGAATAATGACTTTAATGATTTAAGTTGTTGAGGAGTCGACGAGTCTAGAACAAAGAAAACCGTCAATTCTCTCTGCCTTAAAATTATTTCATTATTATAATCTATAAAATTTTCAGATCATGGTAACTTAAATTATATATGGAGGCATATGTAAAAATGTCTACATAGAAATTGGGTAAATAGTATTTGTATTATTAGTAGGTATTATAAGGCTAAGTTCATATGACCGAGCTGTACCGCGGCTATCATCCAACGCCCCGTGTGCAAGATTTCGTGACGGCGGTCCGCGAGATTCGTATTTGAATATCTGTAATGAACTTTTGAACTAATCGAATTGATCGGCGAGAGTTGAGACAGACAGACGCATAGATGCAGGAAAACTGAGTAATAAAGACGACATCGAATTCGTTGACTTGGTCATTGATGAAATAGAACATATTTATAACCATCGATAGAAACTCGGAAGATGCTTGGGTCAGATTAGGTTAAGAATAAAGTTACAAACAAGTCTTTCACTTCAAATTAAATTCACCTAGTACTGTCTTCGTCTTCTTTTGGGACAACTAAGCCTTTTATATAAAATTAATACACAATCTGTCTCCTCAGGCTTCTGTTGTTCCCAGATTGCTAGAGCGTACATAAGGTGTAATATAAATGCTCCAGTCGTGCGGCTCTATGCAGTCATGAGAACTTAGCCTTAAGGTACATAAACTAAAGAAATACCACTTAGCTAAATGCAATTGATTTGAGTTAGAACTTCTATTATATATAAAATAGTCATATTATGTATTTTAAAGTTTTGTAAGACATACCAAGTTTGTTTACCTGTAATGAACCACCTAAACCGATAGACCATAGTAAACTTTTAGTGTTAGTTAATTAATGCGTGTAAATCATTCAAAATAGGAATAATTTTGAGTACCTTTAAGAAAAAAATTATCAACACATTATTTTTATATAAATTAAATACTCACAATTCTGAACATGTTCGGACTTTTTGTGTTTCTGATATTTTGACCAATGATTAAAAACTAAATCACAATCTTCACATTTATAGGTTTTGTGATATCTCATGTGTCTTTTCTTTAGGTAAAGACTAACAAATGTATCTGGGCATAAATCACACCTGAAATAAATAGAAGGAAATATTAGTGAACTTACATCTTCATTTATGCAACATTAATATGTATTCTGGTATTCAACTAGTTAATTTACTAACTTGAAGGCTTTTATACCAGTATGTTGATACATATGGGCTGTAAGTTGATTTTTCTTTTTAAAAGTCATTTTACACTCATCACAAGTAAATTGTATAGCGTGAACTGTATTGAGATGCCTTTTGAGATTCTGGCGATTTGCAAAAGTTTTCGAGCATTCTGAACAGCTGAAACGCAGTACATTTTTTAAATAGGTATTCAATAATATCCATTATTATTATCCCATTATTATCTTATCTATGAGATTTAAATAAGTCAATTACACTTAAACCTTACTTGTAAACTACATCTTTTTCTTGAGGCCCGTGCACAGAATTTATGTGACGATCCAGGTGACTCTTGCTTGTGTATGCTTTGTTGCAGTTAGGCTGCTTGCAAGGAAAAGGTCTCTGAAATATTCAGACATAATTTACTTGGTTGTTTTTTCTCTAGTGCTTGTAACCAACTCAATATCGTCATGAAACTTACTATATTGTTGTGAGCCAGGAAATGCTGTGCTAATCTATAAGGTCTATCAAAGTACGATGCGCAGCCTGGATACGAACAATAATATATTTTTTTTTGTTGTTCTTCCATTTTGACACTTAAATCGTATTTGCAATATATTTCAAACTTTAAATGTTTAATTATCCGAGACCTATCATTTATAAAGGTAAGGACAAAGTATCGTACGCCATAACTTAAATTATAAATCGTTTCTCCTTTTTCTTCTTATTGGATCATTTCTTATAGTTACAATATTTACAACAATATTCTTAATAATAATTTCATTATACTTTGACGAACACCAAGTTTAGTGATAATAACACAACAATGAGCAAACTAAACGAAGCGAATCCAATTCAATCGCCAATCAATGAAATGAATGAAATATCCGTCACTGTCACACAAATGTCAAACTATTTATTTAGGTACCTACAAATTGTAGACCTTCCTTAGTCTTTGAGATCACCACGAGGTCTATTAAGTGGTAGACACACAGTCGCTACTTGCTATTTTTTATTCCAAGTTGAACACAACTATTTATTAGGGATTTAATGAAGTTATGGTTTAGAGTATAGTCATTACTCGTGTTTGATATTAATTTTAGTAATAATCGATAAAGTGAAAAAGGTTAAGAATCACACCTCTACTCGTATTCGAATTATTTATTTGACGTATTGCACTTGGTGCAACTCTAAATCATTCTATTTTGTCCCATATTCAACAAATAATGCGACGTAATCTTCGATTTATCAAAATAACAAATATGATTATATCTGAAATATTTTAAATAATTTATGTGGCTGAAGTGTATTTTGTTGTTAGTTAATACAAATTCAATCAAATTTACAGTGCATTAGTCAAGTCAGCTGACGTACGTAAACAAAGGGCATGTCAATATTTTGTGAAGTGGTGAAATACCTTCAAAGTGATTTGTGATCCAAGCTGATTATTATTTATTCTTATAAAATGGATATTGACGGTTCTTCAGTTGGAGAGATCGATCAAAATTTATTATTACAATTTAGTTGTATGAACACAACAGATAGAGATGAACTTATTAATCAAATGCAGAGACTCTTGGGTCCTAGTATGAATTATAACACAGCCAGCTTCTTTTTGGACATGAGTAATTGGTAATTTTGTGTTAATCCTATATAATTTTAAATGTAAATCTTTATAGCCATAAACCAATACATAACAATGATTATATTTTTGCAGGAATTTACAAACAGCAATATGTTGTTATTTAGATTATACATTACCACCTAAACTGCCATCCATGTCACTTAAAGCTGCGCAAACTCAAGAGGCTGCTGTAGGACCTGGTGCATGGTAAGAATACAATGAATAGGTACCAACATTGACACAATTTTAAAGAAATGTTAATAATTATTGCTTATTGGGTCAAGAAATGACTCATTTGTGTAAAAATATTATTTTTGAACATTTGATAATGTTTAGCCTACATATGTAATGGTATTTTTCAGTTTTGAACAAAGTTGGAACATTGCTAACACTGGTGCAGAAGGTTGGCCAGGCAGCTGTAGACTGGTTCAAGGTGGTGGTGAGCCACTTGGTGCCACTGCTGTCTATGTTCCACCCTTACCTGCAGGACATTCCACTACAGTTACATTAAAGTTAGTTGCGCCAACAACACCGGGCACTCACAGAGGATATTTCCATTTGGTGACTGACAAAGGAGATCAAATAGGAGGTGAGTGAAGTTGAAAAAGTGTGCAGTTGTGTGTTTGATTTTGGAACAAAACAAGTTTTTATGTAATTCACAAAATACAAAGCGTTGTTCTGGGTGTGATCAGCACACAAATGCATACTTGAAGCAAGAAATCTCAGGATGACCCATAAATTTAAATTAAAACAAAGAAAAATACTTCGTGAGTAGTATAAAGCAATCTTGAGTATATAAGTTTTTCTTATGAGTTCCTGAAAATCACATTATCACAAACATGATGATACTTAAATTGTAGAAATTCCAGATTGGCTTATAATCATTACTGTATGAGGTATTCAAATTACAGTTATTTATAGTTTTTATTTGTTTTTAGATACTTTGTGGGTGGAAATTACTGTGGAATCAGAGATTACAATGGCACTAGTAGAACAACTGGCTGCTTTACCCGTCCCAAGTAGTAATGGTCAGGTAAGTTTCAATCACTGTGTTTGAAAAACCATCTCTGAACTATCTGACCTTCTTGAAGGACATTTGATTAAAACATTATCTGTGCCAAAGAATGTCTTTTCTCGTTTGTAGACAACTTTTCTCTAATTACTTTTGCTTGGGTTTATTTGGATAAGAAAAATATTTTTCATTAGAACAAAATATTAAAATTCTACCTTCAATAAAAAAATGATGTATTATTGGAAACTTTGTATTGTCATTCATTGCAAAGAATGTCTGATTCATTCTGTAAAAAAATTAGTTTTTTTTCTTATAACAATAATTTTTCATTATTTTTTCTAGATGCCGCCCCAAGATGATCAGATGTGTTGATGAATAGCAGTCACAAGATGTTTTGTAAAATTTTCATTAATCTAACATGGATTATGTTACTTATATTTATTAAGCAGTTAATGGGCAGTTGTATGTCATTGCTTTCCTTCTAAGATTATTAAGAATTAGCCAAAGAATAATCACATTTTCTTTTTATCAGTTTTGTAAGTTTACTATTGTAATGTACATTATGTTTTATAACAAAACATGGCTGCTGCAATCAATTGAATTTAGTTAAAATTTGAAGCTTAGAACTAGTTACATTCTACATTTAAATTTAAGATATGTTTTGTGTTATATGTATAGTATGTAATTTTCTCAAAAAATATACAACTTGCTTTTTCAAAAACAAATTTGGGTAATTTCAGTTGCTATCAGCAATTCATTGCATGTAAAAATTTTGCTATACAAATTAAAGACTTCTAATGGAAGGAAAATAATGTACAAATCATACATTATTATACACATGATGTTGATTAGCTGTAAGACAACAAATTAAGAATTTGTTAGATATTGTTGAATTTTACAAAATGTAATAATTTTATTAGGGTTAATTATAATTACTTTTAGATTGCATTGCCATGAATGTAATATGGGGAATTAATTTTAAAGTATAAATAAGCAAGTATAATGATTAAATAATATAACTCAGGTTCTGTTTTTGAATACATAAATAACTCATTAATGAACCCATACTTGTGACAATATAGGTATATTAAAAAATATTCCATTGTCTTTGGATTTTTTATTATAGTAATGGTAAAAAATATTTGTAAGGGGCAAAATCTATATTACTATAGTTGTCTAAAGCTATGCTGACTGAATACCACAGAGTCCTTCTGACAGTCTACATATTGTTATCGCCATTACTAGGTACTTATATATTTGTTTATTATTGGTAAATAGGTACACAAAATATAGTAAAAGAAACACAAGTGCTAGATGTAGACGTGTAAAAGCTAATAAAATTTTGTTTAATTTTAATGATTAAAAAGACTATTTGATTAAGTATGTTTTATCACTATCATTTTAAAAGAAGGCTATTGTAAAAAAATATATAGTTTACAAGTTGTAATTGAACTTTTTTTATTGTTTGATGTCAAAATGATTTGTAAAATAAAAACACAAATCAGGTTTTGATTTTAATCTTAATTAACAATTATCAGACCTACAGCTATTGTATTGTAATAAAATTATTTCATGGATCAACACCTAATAATTAAATGTTGTTGTATTGATAAAGAATATTTTCAACTTGCCAATTTTGTTTGGTTTAATGTAGGTAGATAGTCTAGCAATCAAAAAAATATACCAAGCATCAACCAGTAAACATGAAATTGTTACATTTTCCCATTTATTATTTCCTTTCACAAATAACATCACACTTACAGGAAAATACGTAATTAGGCAGGAAGACGGTTATTATTGTAAATTAGTAGAATAAACAGATAATTTGTAATACATCTGGCAACATTGCATTATATTTTTTGTAAGTTCTAAACAGCCATTTCCATATCTATTTTAGGCTGTGGTTTATATCCTTTGATTATGAAGTCTTCATATTTAAAATCATCGATTGAAGTAATTTTGCGAGCAAATTCCAATGTAGGAAAAGCTGTAGGTATTCTTTGTAGCTGTACTTTCAATGGTTCTATATGATTCAAGTATACATGGGTGTCTCCTGTTGTGTGAATAAATTCACCAGCCTGTTTAAAAAAAACGGAAAAAATAATACCATACCAATAAGTAAATATAAAAAGCATAAAATATAATAACATTACAGGAGGAAAAAAGAAAAACAAATCATGGTACCTCTAATCCAGTGATATGTGCAATCATATGTGTGAGGAAAGAGTAGCTGGCAATGTTAAAAGGGACTCCCAGACCCATATCTGCGCTCCTTTGGTACAGCAGGCAAGAGAGTTTTCCATTTGATACATGGAATTGAGCAAGACAATGACATGGAGGTAAAGCCATTTTACTCAGATCGGATGGATTCCATGCACATATTAACATTCTTCTATCTGCAGGGCGATTCCTAAAATAAAGTAGGTTGCACTATATAAGACAATCAATAACAAACCTCATGTTTAGAACACAAACATATTATTAATGCTTACTTAATTGTGTCAATGACATTTTTCAATTGATCAACTCCTTGACCTGTGTAGTCAGTTTTACAATCAACATAGTTAGCTCCGCTGTGTCTCCATTGAAAACCATAAATTGGGCCCAGATCCCCTGTGAGAGAACTTTTGGTGATTAGGAATCCTAGTTATATTGTAAATATGAAAATGTAGTAAGTATGAATGGATGTTTGTTCGTCTTTCATTTAAAATTACTGTATGGATCAGATTGAAATTTCACACAATGATATATTATGTGTGGAATATAATATGGCTAATTATTACCCTGGTACTGAGGGCAAAGTTGCTGGCAAAAGCTTGATTGATCATTTTGATTTGACAAATGGTAATTTATATATTATGTAGTGCTAAAAGCTTAAATTAAAATTGGCTTTCATACCTTCTTCTCTTTCTGTAAATCCCAAGTTGTCTAGAAACTGTCGAGATCCATTAGGATCCCAGATGTGTACACCTTTGGAAGCAAGTACTTTAGCATCAGTAGAACCTGATATCATCCAGAGTAACTCTTCAATGACACCTCTGGTAAATACTCGTTTAGTAGTAAGTAAAGGCAAGGTATTATTTTTAAGGGAATACCTTTGCATAGCCCCGAAAATAGATAAAGTACCAACGCCAGTTCTGTCGACTCTTTTGTCACCTGCATAAAATATAAAGCATATTTTAAGAGTTACTGCAGCTACAAATTGCAGTGAAAGTAGGATTGCTATCACAAGTATGTGTTTACTAGCTGCCTACATTCATTAGGTAGACAAAAGAAAGGTAAATTCAATAAATAAATAGCGACAAAACAAACCTGTGTCGATTATTTGTTTTACCAGTTTTAAATACTGATATTCATCGTGTTCCAAAAGATCCTTTGTTAGATCCATACTTAGTGGTTGTTACACGATTAGGCACTAATTCTAAAAATCCAAATTATTATTATATTAAAAATTAATCTTAAAACACAATTTGAAAAGGTTATTGTAAAAGGAAATAAAGGTAATGTTATGCCAATGCCATACAAAAAGAGCGGGAAAAGTTTTTAACTAAAGATGACATTGACAGCTAAAATTTTTGATGATGTTGGTGGTAAAATTCGTTCAGTAACATTGTGTTTTACAAAAATACAATGTTTTCAACAGAGAGTAATATGAGATTTATTGTTGTGATTCGATCCTTATTTGGTTCCTTCTTATTTAATTTAAATAAAATAAAATAACTAAGAATCAAACAACATTATCATGAGTAGATTTTTTACTAAGTTGAGTGGCTCAACGCCGCGCTTTTTCCAGCCCTTTTTATGGTTGGCAAATTATCTACTAACTGAGGTCTCCTACCCTCGGTGAAACGCGTGGAAACTATTGGATTCTGGTACGATCCACACACCACGACACAGTAAAATTTCAAGCTTGTGATTCTTATGATCCACACCGTGTCTCGGTACATCATTGGGTACTCATAATCACAACTTAGACTGTACTTTGAACCTAGTGGATAAAGACTCTGATGGTCTGATGGTACTGTTAGTGCGCGGAATGCGACGCGCAATGATGGAGCTATACTAGCGGACGCCAATGGTGGTTGACTGATTTCGGACAATAATTGCTTACCATGAGGTAAAACTGTCTGATAGTTTGACCTTATATCCCATAGACATACCAAGTCCAGGGGCACCTCTACATCACTCTCCTAAACTTGTTGTTGATTGTTGTTATTAGCAACCGTTAAACAAAGTATAAAAATATTTGCAGGGGTATAATATTTTTAATAATAATTCTATAATAGGTCATTGCGTACTTACAAAAATATTTTTTGAGATTTTCTCTCACTGAACTGTAACAATTACAAAGTTATCAGCCATCTAAAACACTGTAGTAACGTGAGATTCTATACTTCCAAATACCCACCTGAAAAGGTTGTATTGTACTAACCATAAAATTTGTGTAAAGTGGTGGTAAGGGCTAACAGAGTTACAAAATGCCTGCATTTGAAGCACCAAGTGTTGAGCTAGGCAGTGCTCCTCAAACACCGAGTATTGTGGCATCGCCTTCACCTTCGGAAATCTCTAGCGCCAGTTCTCCTGAACCTCCCAACATACGAGCTACGCCTTTATTTAGGTGAATAATAAGCTTATAGTATCTCTTATTTTCTTGTTAACGACATGTGTTCAATTATTTATATTAAAAACATTTCATCATCATCAGCACACGGAGAAGGTTTGAGCATTAATCACCACGCTTGCTCAAGGCGGATTGGCGATTTCAAACTTATAATTAAGTCCAGGTTAATTAAGTCCAGGTTTCCTCACGATGTTTTGATGTTTTCCTTCACCGCATGTCAATGGTGTCTAGATATTCATAGAAAGTACAATACCTCGGCAAAAGTCACATTGGTACTTGCCAGGTATCGAACTCGCACCCTCATGCATGAGAAGCAGGCGCCTTAACTCCCAGGCCACCACGACCTAAAAAACATTTATAATTAGTAAATGTCTGAAAGATGTGAAATGATACGGCGAAATATTCAAGACCTTTGAAAGAAAAGCGTGATATGTAATAACGTATGTTATGTTAAGAAATGCTCTGTGTTTTATTTAGAGCCTTGGCTATGCCCCCCCCTGAACCGGCTCAACCACCAGGCCAGGAAGAATTAGAGCGACGACTTCCGGGCTACAGACGGATCATTATTCCACGAGAATTAACTTTGATAGAGCTTTTGGTGAGTTTAACGATATGTACGTATATTCAAATCCAAAAAATATTATAAATGCGGAAACTAAACTACTGAACTTATTTGTGTGAAAATTGGTATAGACATAGTTTGGAACTCGAGAAAGGACATAAGATTCATAAGGTTTCTAAACCAAAAAATCTGCAGGAAGTCACTATTCCACGCAAACAAAGTCGCGGGCAAAAGCTTGTTACCTATATTCATAATTACTGCGATTTTAATGCCATTTTAAAAGGACGGACATTGGTGTGCTTAGCTTTTACGGTACCATGAGGACTTGGGTACTTTAATCGTTTTCATTTGGTCGCGTATTTAAATACAAAACATGGAGGTTTTAAGTGTGAGAAAGCCAACCCAAGAGAGAGACCCTTTTATGACGAAATGAATGGGTCGGCTCAATCTATCCCCTACCCCCATCGCTCCTTGGTGCACTCGTAACTCCTCTGTGTTTCGGGTGTCTAAAGGCGGCGCCGATCGCTTATCCGTAAGTCTGTTTTCCGTCCTTTGGGTAGCCTAAAATGTTTTTTATTCTTTCCAGAAACAAAGCAGTGGTGTGACAACAGACGATGAGGTCTTGCGCATTCGAGAGGCTAAGCTTCGTGTAGTAGCTGATCGAGTCGGATTGAGGAGACTTCACGTTCTTTCTCCAAGACTTCGCGTACTCACGCTGGATGGAAGCGCGCTTTCTTCTTTGCGCGATCTGGGTATCGGTTTAGTTCACCTCAAAGTAAGTTAATATCACATATGTCTGTCGATTTTTCGGTTGTGTAAAAGTTTTGGCACCAAAGTCAAAGTCAAAGTCAAAATTATTTATTTCAATTAGACCCATACAGGCACTTTTGAACGTCAACACAACTTTAAAGATACAAAGTGTCAGTCTGTCGGTCAGTCCTCTTAGTGAAGCTATTCGCTCGTTCCAAAGTGTAGATTCCGATGGAGAAGAACGAGCAAGAAACTCCATGGTTACTCTTTTAAAATCAGTGTCACATAAACATTCTTTGATACATTATTTAGTTAGTTTGAATATGTGAGAACAGTGTAACGCGTGTATACAGAGAAACATAAAAAGAAAATAACCTTAAGGACAATAGACAGTCCGGAGCTGACCAGTCCCAATTGACGGCGCCCGTTCACGAGCATGACACGTACACCAGCATCGCCCAACTCAACCATAATATAGGGAATCGAGCGATCCAGTGACCGTGCCACCGCCAATGTGACCTTTGAGTGAGCATGACAACTCCAAGCTGACATATGGACCGACATTCTGCTAGTCTAACTAATTTTAATAGGTTACAGGGCACTCACATTTACAAATTTATCAAGTTTAACAATAAAAATAGCATGGTTACAAATTTACAAAATCTAAGAACTTCCGTTCAAGCAAAGATCCACTGGAACATTATTTATATTCGTGTAGGTATATTATCCTGTGGAGCAGGACCAGCCCGTCTCCAAGCATCCTTATCCTCAATATAATCACTCAGTTTGTAATATGCTTTTTTACACAAAGTTTTCTTTATACATAATTTAAAATTTCTTTCATTTAATTGTTGTATTTCGCCTGGGATTTTGTTATAACACTTAACGCTGAATCCCATGAACGACTTGTGTACCTTTGCCAATCTAAATAATGGCTGACACAATCTATCTCTATGTCTAGTTTGGTAATTATGTCTGTCTGATACCTTATCAAATAATATTAAGTGTTTCCTAACATACATTATATTTTCATAAATAAACTGACCGGGCACAGTCATAATATTGATCTCTTTAAATTTATCTCTAAGAGATTCGCGAAGCCTTAGGTTGTAAATTGCTCTGATTGCACGCTTTTGCAAGACAAATATAGACTCAATGTCAGCAGCCTGTCCCCACAACAAGATGCCATACGACATAATGCTATGAAAGTAGCTGAAGTACACCAGTCTTGCAGTGTCCACATCTGTTAGCTGTCGGATCTTCCAGACAGCAAATGCTGCAGAACTCAACCGTCCTGCCAGAGATGTGATATGGGGCCCCCATTGTAGTTTTTCATCTATGGTTATACCCAGAAAAGTAGTCTGTTTTACAAATTCCAATTTCTTGCCGTTTAATAATATGTCACATTCGTTACTTTTTACATTTGGTAAACTGAATCGTATACACTTTGTCTTTTTGTCGTTTAGAACTAAATTATTAACTGTAAACCAGTTATGAACCTTCGTAATAGCATTATTTACTTCGTCATAATTATTTGTCCGTCTATTTATTTTAAAAATCAACGATGTGTCATCAGCAAATAATACCATTCCCGGTTCTCGCTGAAATAAATGAGGTAAGTCATTTATGTAGACCAAAAATAGGAAAGGACCTAATATCGAGCCCTGTGGTACGCCCATAGATATGCTAGCACCCTGAGAATTAACTTTGTTTACCTGTACTTTAAGCTGCCTATCCTGGAGGTATGATTTTAATAAATTGAGTGAAGCCCCTCGGATACCATAGTGTTCCAACTTTAGCAACAGTGTCTCGTGTTCGACGCAATCAAAAGCCTTGGACAGGTCACAAAAAATTCCAATAGCGTCGTGCGACTCCTCCCACGAGGCAAAAACACGCTTAATTAAAGTTACACCGGCGTCAGTTGTGCATCGACCTTTGGTGAACCCATATTGATGATCATGAAAGATGGAATTCATGTTAAAGTGACGCAGCATCTGAGAAAGCATCAGCTTTTCAAACACCTTACTAAGCACCGGTAAAATAGATACCGGCCTATAATTGTTAGGATCGGTATCATTGCCAGATTTAAACAGTGGAACTACTTTGCTATGTTTCATCAAATTTGGAAAAACTCCCTGATCTACACTTCTATTATAAATTAAAGCTAAATGAGGCGCTATAGCTTCTATAAAAGCCCTACACACTGCAACAGACATTCCCCAGAGATCCTCTGTAGACTTAACTTTAATGTCTTTAAACGCCTTTATTACTGATTGGGGGTTTGTGTACTGAAATTGGAAATCAGAACGGCATTCTTTAATATTTCTTTTGAGAAGACTAATTGAAAGTGCCGGAGATGATTCCAAGTCCTTTGTAGTTTCAATGGGGATATTCTTGAAAAAAATTTCAAATTCTTGTGCAACTTCCCGATTTACACTAACATGTCCATTTCCGGTATTTAAATTAATTTCCGTGTTATGCAATTTATGTCTGCCTGTCTCATTGTTAATTATTTTCCATGTAGCCTTTGTTTTATTTTCAGCGTTCTTAATCTTACGGCTAATGTAAAGAGATTTTGCTTGCTTACAGACCATTTTAAATATTTTTGCATATTTGGACACATGCTTGCTAAAGGCTTCGCTTGTATTAAATGGTTTCATACCATATAGTTCAAATAACTTTCCCCTACTTCTACGAATACCGGGGGTAGCCCAGTCACAGAATACAAATTTACATTCAATGATTTTACGTTTTAAGGGGAATAATTTATCAAATTGGGTTTTAATAATGGCCAGTAAGTTGGCATAAATCTCACTTGGACCTTCATAATCATGTGATGGGCTGCATAATATTTGCTTTAAATTATTATGTAATGACTCAACTTTTTTAACCGTGATATGTCTAAACGTCACCTCAGTGAGTACTCAAAAAATATTGAGTTTAATGCTCAGCTAGTTGTTTAAATATATATATTTTTATCTCTCTTCTAGATTTCTGTTATTGCAAATATCTACGTGATTTTTTACAGATTTTGAGTATAAACCGTTGCGGTTTATCGAGTTTGGATGGCGTTTGGGGATTAGGCAATTTGAGGGAACTGTATGCCGCTGGAAACCGTATCCAAGATTTACAACCTCTGGCCGCGTTACAGAAACTGCACACTTTAAATCTGGCTGAGTACGTTCTACTTATCAATCTATCTACATAATTTGTGCTGTACTGGGTACCTACACACTACCATGCCATAAATATGGCACATCGATGTGCAAAATTTATCGCCTTGTATTGTATAATACTTTAGCTAAATATCTATAAGTGAAGTTTATATTTTTCGACACCTCAGTTGTAATGAAGTACCCAATTTTTCTACTCCTGCATGTATTATATTTTTTTACACTGTCTGGAATTGAAAAGAAACGGACCTCTGAGTTTGTTTCGGCATTTCTTATCAGAATGCTCAGATAGGGAATGCCGGTTTCCTCTAGTTTTTCATATATCTATATGTATATTGTCATTTTATGGCCTATTTGCAAAAATAAATTCATAGTTTCATTGTTTCCAATTACAGTAACCCTATATCGGATTCTGGTCGACTTTGGACACTAGGAGTTTGCAGTGCTCTACGGAAACTTACTCTCACAGGAACTCCTGCGTCTGATGATGTCGACTACCGTTCCCGTGTCGCTGCCGCATTGCCCATGCTGGTCTACTTAGATAATAGACCTTTGCATACAGATGTTACCTGTACGTATTCTTTAACTACCTTATATCGTTCATATATATAAAATAAAATTATTCGCCCGCTATGTTTATAAAAAGTAGCATGTGTCCTAATGTAGGATACTGTCTACTGTGCCAAATTTTATCCAGATCCGTCCAATGGCGTGATTGAATAACAAACATCCAAACATCCAAACATCGTAACTTTCGCATTTATAATAAGAATAGCTTTTGCCCGCGACTCCGTTCGTGTAAGTGAATAGTGATTTCTCCCTTTCTGATTCCTGCAGATTTTTGGTAAGTATAAAAACTATCCTGTGTCCTTTCTTGACTTGCAAACTATGTCTGTACCAAATTTCACAGAAGGCGGTTCGGTAGTTTAGGCGTAAAGAAAAGACAGACAAAGTTACTTTCGCATTTATAATATTAGTTTGGACAACGCCTGGACCAATTTTGACAATTCTTTTTTGTTGTGTTTGTTATTGTCAGGAGAAGGTTCTTATGAAAGATAATGTTATAAAAGTAGAGGGTAAATTGGGTAAAAATGATCCTTTCGTTGTTGAGAGTGAGATAGTTGGAACCGTGCGAGACGAGGGCGGGCTGCTAGATTCAAATAAAAATGGTTGCCTAGATAGACCATATTATTTTCCGTCATGGATTTTGAATTTAGGTAATCGTTTTGTAGTGGGTACCGGTTAGCTAATGACTAGTTACCCACTTGCAACTAGCTGAAAAATTGGGAAAGACTGTTGCAGACTCGGTATCTAAAAACACAAATGTTGAAACAAGAAAAAAAAATCAATTTAAAAATCCCATTAGACATGATAACAACATCAACATACCTAGATAGATAGGTAAGGAAAAAAAATGCAAAACTGCTTCATTATTAAGAACTATTACCGCTTACCTAGGTACATGATATTTTGCATTGCTGGCGTCATCGCGTGTTCGCATGTTCTATTCTCGTTTAGTTGCTAAGGAGAAAACCAGTCTTACACTGAAATGTAGACCGCACAAAATTGGAGCGTTCACAGTTGCTGTGGAATCTATACTTCAATTTCGATTTCATGATTTGGCTGAATGCACTGAATGACATAGTTTATCCATCTACGTCATTAGGTAGGTATCTAATGTGTGACAGAGATTGTATAATCTACAAAATACTTGTTCCAAGACTAGATTAATGGTCGTGATTACTCGTGATGTGAGATTTATTTATTAATAATTACTTACTTACTCGTATGTATCATGTTTTCATCACTCATGTCGTGTTTATCAGTTTTGATTGTTAATGTCAGTTTTTTTTTGTTAAAACCCAATTACTTTCGTAACAAACTTTTTGAAAATTATTTCGTAAATCCTTAGAACTCAACCGCTTCTCATGTCTAACTTTTTAAAAAGTAAACTTACTTTATCATAATGATTACATTTTTAGATTCTGATGAAGAGTTTGGCTCGGCGACATCGTCTGAGAGTGAAGATGAAGAGGAACCAGATCTATTGGCAAAATTAAGTATTCCACCGGTAGCAGAACCTGAACCTGGGCCGTCGACTATGCCGGATGTAAGGAAATAATCAAATTACATAAAATTGATTTTTGTATCTCAGATAACATTTCAATAGTCAAATAAATGTTATCTGAGGAATAAAATTGTTGCTGTCTCCGTCTTATACAAACATTATGACGCGACAGGATAATAATTATTCCCCAGGTAACTTTTATCTAACCATTGAAAAATCAGCCCTACCTAATACTTATTTTACTCACCTATCTAGAGGGTAGGTACTTATCTACGAAATGATTCATTTCTCATACTAACATTAATATCCGGGTAACAAAGGCTCGTTAAATGAAAGATAAGTGCTTATTTGTTTGAATACTTACCTACATTAGATATCTATTAACTAGGTACTTATGTATAATAGGTAAGTACGGTAGGTACGACACAATTAAAACGTCAACAGAATGACCTACCTACATTGCTAGAACAATTACCTAATTAGGTACCTAAATTGACTGCACACGTCACTAAATGGTATTAAACAAAGTCACTTTCTGTGTCCCTATATCACTATGTATGTTTCAATCTTTAAACTACGCAAAGGATTTTGATGCGGTTTTTAAATAGATAAACTGATTGAAGAGGAAGGTTTACTTGTCCATATAATAGTGGATTAATTTATCATGAATATTGCACCCTGCGACTAGGGCGGATCGCTAATAAATAGTATTAAGTATAAGTACTGAGAAAAGACCTCATTAGATTAGAAAAGAACATTTTTGTGCAGGAAATTCCGGAAGTTGATGAGGGTGGCAATGCGGGTAATTCAAGTTTGGAATGCGATAATCTAAGTAGACGCATTCGACGACGTCCAGCTACTACCGAAAATGCTGGTGTCAGACCAATTCGGCCCAACGTCCCACCGAGGCCAAAAACAGCTCAAGACAGAAGACAGAACTCTGGAGACCATCGGACTAGACTTGAGATACTAAATACGCTTTTAGGTAAGAACCTATATAAGTGCCCACTGCTGTTCAAAGGCGTCTTCTCACATGGAGAGGGTTGAAACAATCACCACGTTCTGCTGAGCAAAGCGTTTTCTCACTCGGAGAAGGATGGAGCAAAAACCACCACGCTTTCAAAACTACAAATTAGTACATGTTTCGAACCCGTACCTACTCTTATTCGTGTAAAGGTAGGAGTCCGGGCTGTTACTTACTTGCAAATTATATTATCTACATACTTGCAAATCGAATGATCATGCTACACACATAAGTCAGTCGCTTTCTTTTCGTACGATCGACGGTTGATTGATTATATTCATAATCTTACTACTTTATTTATACGCACAATTTATTTGCATACACTATACTTATTATCTTATTATGTCTAATTTTATAATCTTATTAAATGTTTTTCAAGATGATGAGTGGCTATGCAGCGGAAGTAAGTTGACCTCTTTGGATGCTGTCTGCGGGAATTTAGCAAATTCTTTACGTCGCAACTCTAGCACATACCAACGTCGCTTTAAAGGTAAGGAAAATAAAGTCCGATTTGTAGGTTCCTATCTACATGGTTTCAACGAAAATCCGATAAGTACCCATCTAACCTACATGGTCTAACAAAACAACTGTTGTTTTAGTCGTAGGAACATTAAGGAAAATTAATCAGTATTGACAAGGTACCGTATAATTTATTACCTTCATCTGTCCATGTTGTAATAATCCGTTGTAGAAATATGCAAAGTACCCACCTAATCACTGATTGTCTCGTTAATGAATTCTGACATTTTACCATAGAGAAACTCGCGAAGAATGTTTAGACACCATCGCAATGATTACATAGTCGGCAAATAGCAGCCCGTTTACCAAGACAGTAGGTAGGTACTGGGTGCCTGTGTCTACATTGACATTGACAACATCGGAGGTACGTGACGAATCATATTTCGGTCAAGATTACTCAATGTGGGAGAATTACCGTGTGGAAGAGCCGGTATGATTGGGCCGGCTCGACCGGAGTAATAGATATGTTCTGTAATCTGTGGATCGATACCACGGCTTCATAGAGAACCCGCGTGAAGCAAGACTTACGTTATGTTTCGCCGTGTGAGTAAGGTTATCAGAGGTCCTATCCTTCCTGCCCATTCTGAAACCTGATATGGGGATATCCTTAAATCCCTATTAACCCAAAAGAGGCCGGCAACACACTTGTAGTAACTCCTTTAAGAGTTCATGGGAACCGCTGATTGCTCACCACCAGGTAATCGGACTGCGCATTTGCCGACCTATGACTTAAAAAATTTACTTACATACTAGTTTTTACTATTACTACTTTAATCATTACCATTAAGCAACAATAACTGCAAGTAAAATTATTTACTTCCCTTTATTTTTCTATGAAACAATTAATTATATTTTACGTACACTTTACATCCAATTTATGAAGCATACAAAGTACCTAGTGTGTGAATTGCGAACTAACTGCATTTTGATAAAAGAAGTAAAAAAATATATTTCTAAACACAATATTTGAACTCTTATTCACGTTCTCTTCTTTTCGTCGTAGTCGTCTTTTGGTTTTTTATTGTACGCTTTTTGCTACAGCAACCGCAATTCCCGGCATGAACTGCAAAGGTCAATGACTTATAACTGAAATCATTATTTCAAGACGAAGTTTAAAAACTTTGCTTACCTTGTTTGATGACGATAACATAGATATGAATTAACTTTAACTTTAAGATTGACTAGATAGGTACCTATCTTCCTATGTTACTCATAAAGTCAGTAAAGTGTGTGCTTAACAAACTTATTAATTAAAGAGTGACGATTGTTTCAATGATCGTTACTATTGTCGTTGTGACGAGATACGAATTAAATATAAAGAATCTCGTAATGGAGAAGACTAAAACTGTTTACGTGAATTCAAATAAAAATAAAATTTCAAGTTCTATTAGCATCATAGTTTTCTATCCTTCAAGTAGCAAATATGTCGAGTTAAGTTGGTTGCCCAAATGTGGCCTCGACCTAAGATTGTTGTGAGAAAGCTGTGAAATTGTGCGTGCTCTTTGTTAATTCTGCTGGTTAACACAGCTAGACTTGTGAGTTAATCAACAGAGCCTTGTCCTACGATGTTGACTCTGTCTATTTGAAAATAACTGTGCTAATATTTAGAAAGCGGCGACGTCTTAGGATCTTACTTATTAGAGCGTGTTTTTGGTAATTTCAAAGTAAAAACAAGCAGTTACATTCTCGTTTCACAATTAGTTTAATGCAATGTTTTAATGGTTTTCTAAATTGCAAACACTGTTTATTTAGGAGCTCATTTTTCCGTGTCTTATACTATGCTTCCTTAAGAGACTGTTTTAGGACTAGAAAAAACGAAAATGTAGTTTTAAAGACCGACTTAAAAGTAAATTAGTACTTAATGGTAATGATATTTATTTTAATTTACTCATGTCTTGATTTCTAGATGCACAAAAGGAATTAGTGGAACAGACTATAGAAGATGCGTCAAGAGCGGTAGCAGCTGAAATACCACGAGCACCTCGACTAGAAGATTGGATCAAGTTCAAGGAAGAAACAGGGTAATGTTGTTATAAAAAGTTATGAAACTATCTCTGTTTTGCACTAACTAAGTACGTATTTAGTTTATCATATTAATAAATGTAGCTAAGAAACACTGAACGTTTTCAAAATTTTATTAAATTGCTATATTTTGACAGGATTGACATTGAAATAAACTTTAACGATAGACCAAAATGTCCTGATCCTACAAAAATTCTTGAACGTCTCGAGAAAATTGAAAAGGAGACTCAAGAGAGGATTAAAGAAGAAACATTAAAAGGGAAGTCTAAAGTTACGGATGGTAATATAAGCAGCACTGCTAGTACATCCTATTTGCCAAACAGTTCATCAACATTTGACACGATGTCGAGTATAAATAATTATGAAATGTTTCACACAGATTTAGTTGATCTACCAGCTGATACAAACATAGACACGTTTCATGACGATATTGATGATTTACATTCAGTTAGCAGAGAAAGGGTTGGTTTCCCCGATAACAATGGCTCACTAACTGACTAAGAACAAGAACAACTTTCACTAACGTGTCTTGATACTATTTGACGTAGGTCTAGTCTAGAATCTAGTTCTGGAATTGCCTTATCCATAGGCTGTTGGGAATTTATTATATCATTTCGGTTTACTGCATCGTGTTTGCTTTGCGTTTTATATTGTAGTCTATGGATAAAGATAGGTCAATGAAAACTTTCACAGGGATAATTTACTATTCAGAGAGATTGATTGTGAATTTGGTACCTTTTTTATTAAGAAGTATGTAGTCATCATCATATTTATAATAATATTTTGCTTTTTTTGTTGTGGAATATAATAGGTCTTTACCTATGAAATTGCCGTTTTGCATGAAAAAATTTAAACGAATTTTTTGATTTGAAATGCGATGAAAATGTAACACTAATCAATAAACAAATGACTACTTTTGGAAAAAGAATCCCATGTTTTTAAAACAAAATTAATTAGCCTAACCCCCGGTTTCCGAAAGGCCGATCAATGTTAAAATCAATTTAATCTCTTGTCAAGTCATCTGATTGGTTGGCTGAATTATCAACAACCAATCAGATGACTTGACAAGAGATTTAACAGGAGATTAGTTAATTTTAGCGTTGACAAGCCTTTCAGAAACCGGGGGTTAGCCTAACAAAAACTATTTTGATTTGAAATGGCCAGTACTGCAGAACGGCAATTTCATAGGTTATATTATATTATACAGGATACAGGTATACAGGATACATGATATAGTTCCTTATTGTATTTGAGGATAAAACTTCAATGCTGCACAAATAAGCAAAATGGTGATTTCATATTTTTATTTTTTGATATTACTTTGTCACGAGGTCACGACGCACCTTGCAGATTTAATGAGTACCTAAAATAGAAAGTTGAGATAAGAAATTCCATTACCTGAGAGCATAAATAAACCTTGGTATGAAACCACCACAATTATGGAACGAAACAAAATAATGTATTAATGGAAGTCCCAGTAGGTGTTTTCACCACGTGAAACATATTTTTCTTTTGTTACACTGATATAATCTTTTTTATTTAAATTAATTTAGTCTAGTCTTTCAGGGAATGATCGATGGTCTATAACGTTTTCTGAATGCGTGCAATAAAATTGATGATGATATGAATCAGGTATCCTTGCTTTTTTAATTGCCAGGATACATGCAATGTTTGTTTTTTTAGTGATAATTCGTGTTACTTTTTTATATTTTATACAAAGAGACGGACATCATGTTCAATGCGGTTATTCGCCAGTTACAAATTATTTTTAATGTAAGTGTTTCTTGTGTTTGTAACAAGTTACAATTTATGAGAATAAAATTTTATTGACCGTTGCTATTTCGTTTTATTTCAAACGACATTTATGGCTAAGGAATAGTGTGTCTGATGTGGTTTAGAGAAAGTTTTTGTTGGGAAATGTCTCTAGGTACGGCTATATACATTATTCCCGTATTATGTTATTAAGGTTAGGTGTAGGTACTAACTCCAGATACTTACTGAACATTTTCTACCAGGAAAGTAGTTTAGAATGTAACCTCGAAACGTGCAGTTACGGAACTATTCAAAGTGGTCACGTTACCGTTTTTTTCCATAAATTTTCATTAGGATTTTTCTTCCATTGCTCATGGAAGATCCTGGAAGAAATCTAACGTACAATACCGCCGACGTGTCTTGGCGAGTCCGAAGTTATCCGATTAGCTGCGCAGTACAAAGCGCAGTACACAATTTTGTTCCTAAAAAATCCATTGCGCAGACAGACGACTAACTTCAGACTCACCAAGATACGGCGGCCGTGCTGTACCTAAAGCAGACAGCATTTCTGCCAATGTCCAGGCAATGCAAGGATACGTCGTAAACGTAGTGCTTATATTCTCTTTGGGATACGTAGGTAGGTATGTGCAGATATTCAATTGTTTATAACTAGGTAACACGAGGTTAAAAGAATTCAAGGGGTGAATAGATATTGGGATTTTTTCAGTAAGTACCTATCTAGTTTTACACCATACTTACAACCAAAAAGTTAACCCATACAGGTATTTATGGATACTTAGAGAAGTATGAATTGTTTTCTACAGATATACCCTATTACGAAAGGCTTAAGACACAACTTTCTCTTTCAAAGACAGAACACCTACCTTAGTAATCTTAGAAGGGTTTTCACTGCGAGTCTGTGACCACGGGTACTTCGATTTCTGATCTACAGTTTTGAGTCTTAAAAGCACCAAGGAAAATTAAATTGAAATGAGGAAAATTCCGTAAATACCATAACAATTGGAGTGTCAAAAACGAGATTTTCCTAGGTATGATTTTTTGTTTGAAAACGCAACACTGTAACGTCTGTCTGACCTAACTACTTATTTTGAAAAACGAAAATGTTGTAAACGTATTACCTATATTAAATTATTTTGATTTTTTTTTTAATACAAGATATACCTTTTTTTTACAATTCTGTGAAGTAGATACCTACATGGGTTGTATACAAACATCAAATTCAAAAAGTCAACAACTTTTGCACTTCCTTATGTTTGCCGAAATTAAATATTACATTCTATAAACCAAAGAACATGTTCAAGTGCCCTTGCTCATTATTTAATTTACGTTTCCACTTGACTTGAACGGTCGGATACCGTCATTCCGATACGCCACGAACTCGATGCTCACAAAGTGTCAAGATCAAGGACAACTTTACCGTAAAAACACTACAAGTTACATTGACTTTACTTCCTTATATAGGTATCTTATCGGTTCAGTGTTTAATTTACTAATAAACTATAAGCATTGGTACTTAAAATATAAACAAAATTAAAGACTATTATATAGTAAATATGTTACAACCTTATCTCACTGTATCTATTCGAGTAAAAAGATTTTGTTTAACCCTATTTAAAATTGTAAGTACACATTGAACCAGTAAGTACCTACACAAAAGTAAATTTACTTCGAACTGTGAACCAGCCGTTAGACTACGGATAACGATAAACCAAAGAAGCTTAGCTTAGAGCTCACACCGGCTGACTAGACGGCAGTCATCTGCGCGGAAGAGGCCGAGTCAGACGCATTCATCAACCGATTCAAAATGAGTTTATTTCTGTGGCTACAAAGAGTAGTGTACTACAATTTACTAACTGTATACTATAATGTGTTAATGCTCATCGGGTTTCTTGTAGTGTATTTAAAAAATCCATTCGCCAGTCCCTGGACACAGAAATTAAAGTTGGAACCGCCTGCGCGACTCACAGACCCTAAATATGGAGTGCACAAGTACATCAAAGTTAATGTAAGTAATTTATTTCGATTACAATTGATATTGCAAATGCGTGTTCCGTTGCACGCTGATTTTGCCGTTTCGCTTAAGCACGCGTGAAATGTAGATTTGTGTGATAAGCAGTCATGGTATCCTGGTTTCGATTCTTAGGTGTGATATGTTATAATTTAGTTTTTGGGTGAAGATTTTTCTCTTGAAGAATTAGCCTTTGTGAATAAATTCTCAATTTTAATATCATTAATTAACAATTAGCCACTTAGATAATAACTGACCTACACCATTATGATAGAACTTAGGTAGGTACCGGTTCTACCATATATTGTTAAAAAGTAGGTATTATGTTAAAAACTATGAGCTTAATATAAAAGTGGGCTGTTGATATACTTGATAAGCATGTGAAAGTTTTCACATAGTTATCTAGTACATAAGAAATATTATGTTGCCGGATATCAGCTGCGTTTTTCCCGCGAGTTTATTACGTACGTTTATTAAGTACCAATTCAATACGACCGCTAGACTATATGACGTAATTAAACTGTTAATTTTACATAAAGAGGCTATAACCACATCGTCATTAATTTTACTAATCATCAATTTTCGCGGAAGTCTTTCATAAAAAGTATACCTATAGCTACCTACTTACTAGTACGTAGACGGCAATTATACATATTCAATAATTATTTATTATATTCGTTCGGGTGATTCTTCACATTAAACAAAAAATAACAACGCCATAATTCTCAAAACCAATAGGTAGGTACTTATAATTCTGACAACTGAATAGCATAAGTATTCTGATTATGTAAAATCAAACATTATCTACGTCTACGGGCAATCCAACAAATAAAGTTATTGACGATAAATAACTTACTGACATGGTTATTTTCTCAAAATCACCCGTTCCATAAATTTTGGAAATTTATTGCCAGCGAAAAATAATCGAGTTTTTTTTCTCTTCCTCCAGCTTCAGGCTGAGTCAGCAATATTTTGAAGCAAATATTTTTGACTATATAAGACTATATAGTCAGCGTTATAAAGATAATAAGGAGAAAACTAGACTACATTCTACAGAACATTTTCAAAAGATATCATGCGACTTGATGCGACCCAATAATTGATTTGGCGTAAAAAGCATTGCATTGTTTCATTGTTACGTACATACGTAGGTACATGGTATATAATACATAACGTAAAGGCTGTGATGTTATGTCAGGTACCTCGATATAAAAAGGTGAGTATGTGTTTGCGTTACACAAACACATATGTATACACAATACACGCCCAATCTTAGGAAAGGACTTTGTAACCATTACATCGTGAAGTGTGGAAGAGCCATGCTTCGGCACGAATGGGTCGGCTCGACTGGAGTGATACCACGGCCTCACAGAAAACCGGCGTGAAACAACCACAGTTGTGTTTCGCCGTGTGAGTGAGGTTACCGGAGGCCCAATCCTCCCCCTCCCCCGATCCCTCCCCAATCCCTAAATCTCCAAAACCCTAATCCCTAAATGGTCGGCAACGCACTCGTGACTCCTCCGTTGCGAGTGTCCATGGGCAGCGCTGATTGCTTACCATCAGGTAATCGTCGGTAAACCGTATGCTCGTTTGCCGACCTGTTACCTTAAAAAAAAGATGGTGGTACTACGGCTGCGGCGTCCCAGATTACGTCGTAAAACAGCACTTATAAACAATTACACATGGTCCATAACTTGATCTATAATTTCTTATTATTATTTACATTTCCGACCCTCCTGTCTTGCTCAGTAGTGCAATAATAGGCTGATTATTTGAGATTGCATCTGTAAGAATTAAATCAGCGAGACAGTTTGGTTAATACGGTAGTTCCCAACTAGTCAAATTCAATACTTTTATCCAAATGTCAAAAATGATGCTTTTACTATGAAATTTGTATGAAACTCCAAATTATGACAATATTTATGCGTCAAAATATATCTTACTTATTTACTATTTTAATTTCTAAAAAAAAAGAAAATTTTATGTATCGACACATCGATTAATAAGAGTAGGTAGGTATACCTAGTTATTTTTTTTTTGTATTATTACGTCGTATTAACTTATTTTTAACCTAGGAAACTACTTAATTAATCAACTCATTCGAATAGGAAATAATATTACAAGTCTGGTATCTATTAGATGTGATAAGATATATGTAGGTGCAGACATAGATATTATAGATCTGTCTAGTCATAGCGTTAATAAAATGCCTTATCATGACCATGCGACAAAGCGTGAAATGCTATTTATTGATCTGATTGATATCAATGGCCAAAGTCATAGAAACTGAACTTTGTATCCGTTAAATATACGAGTAGGTACCTACGAAGAACAGCTAGAAACATATTAAAACTTAATATATTTTGTTTAAGTAACCTGTTATATTTTAAGTTGTCTTACGGTAAAAGTTTTTTCTGATGGTACGCAATCGGCGCCGCCCATGGACACCCGCAATACGAGATGAGTTAGGAGAGCGTTGCCGGCCTTTTGGTGTGATTTAAGGATTGGGGAGAGATAGGGGGAGGGGAAGGGTTCTAGGCGTCCGATAACCTGAATCAAACAAGTAAACCTAATATGAAACAAGTAAAGCTGATATTGTTAAAATCCCCAACCATCTTATACCCGAATCTACAATCGAATTCAAGATCCCTTATGAAAATTCTTTCTTTTGTTACCAAAAGAAAGTAATCAGCGCCGCCCATGGACACTCATAGTACCAAAGGGGCTACCACGCCGGCCTATGTGGTTTAAGGACAAAGGGATCTGAGGATTGAGGATAAGGGGGGGAGGGATTACGATGAATTGGGCCTCCGGTAACTTCACCAAATATATACAACAAAGAAAATATGTCAATTAATACTTACTAAAAATACACACATAATTTGACTTATAAGTAATAATAATATAATAATCTCTCTTGTTGACATAATTTATCGCTATTGATTTAATTAGTAGTTTTGGTCTATAAATTAATAATTTTACGACCTGCCCCGGCGCGAGTACTATGTATGCTGATACTAAATATGTTATTGTTTTTGTTTGTTTGTTTTATACTATAGCTTTGTAGTGATATAAACAGATATAAAATACTCAATTACTTAATAATGATTTGTAATACACGAAGTTGGGCATACTTATGTGCATTTTCTTCCTTTTTTAAAAGATAAATAGGCGATTTTGAAAAAGAGTTTGCAAAATGCAGATAAGAAATTCTTTATTGAATCGGTAAATTGACACATTCGAATACTGTTTTTAAAAGATTTCTTTACTGTGTTGTTAAATGTTTGAAAATTTAGGGCTTGATAGGTTTTTCCAGAAATAATCATGGGAAAGCCCCGAGGAATTGTCGTTTGAACCAACAACGCAAATACATTGATAATGAAGATGAAGAGGAAATGACATTATCTTGGAGGTCCATTAATAGAAGTAGTCAGTCGAAACCGGATTAATAGAAGTATTTATATCAGATGTGTTATTATCATAAAATAAATAAAAAAACAAAGTACAGAATAGCTTGAGTTGATATTTGATGCAGTCATAAAATATGCTATTATTTGATGAAATTAATTACGCAGATGAAGTTAGAGACAGAAATTATTATCAAATATGGAATTTATTTAATTTTATTAATGCATTGGAAACTCTATTGTAAAGATTGAGTGAGTAATGTAAAAAAAATAAGTTGTTTGCATTTATGGTATGCATTTAAAGCAGCATAACAATCTAGTTGAAGATATATGGCATCTGCTGTACTGCTTTTGTAATGGCATGGTGATAACACCGGTGTCGGTCGGTCGGTACAAACAAATACATAACGCAACGCAATACATATGTGCAACAATTGTACCCAATCGTGCTGTGTAATAATATTCTGCTAAAAGAGAATACACGAAAGCCGTTCCGCTTTCTGTATTAGCACGTTCTTCCGCCGAGTTGTATAAACCTAACCAACCTGTTTTCGCATGCTTCCCTACTGACCAGCCTCAGGCACAGCGGTGGGACTATAAATCGTAACGCGATCTAAGTATTAATAGCTAATAATTTACTGTGTTACACTATAGAGAGAAATAAAAAATACTTATAACTGCTAAAGTTGATGAATTGAATTGTGAAAATTACGTAGAGTATAGTTTTTATACGTTTTTGTAATCTTCAAGAGATTTTTTTATTTTCTCGGAAATTTTGTTATGTCTTACGAATTCGGTCGGTAACTGAGCAGTCCAACGCTATATGGCATACTTAAGTACCTGAAGAAATTGGTTGAAATCCTTACAAAAAGTTAACTTATTGATACTTATATCTAATGGTCCTATTTGTTGTTTTCTTTTCCACACAGAGAAATGTGTACCTGCTCTTATAATAATGTGGTAAATAGTATCAACGTTACCTGCCAACTTGTCGAAGATATAAACTCTGTAATCTTGCAACGTTACTAATGATCCATAAATCTACCTGCAAGTGCAATACTTGTGTGGAGTTTTATGTAATTAAGTTGTTATATGGGCAATCAAATAATTACTATTTACGTATAATTAAACTGCAATAAAGACCTTGGACATTTTATGCACTTAATGTTTCGCTCCAACGAATCTAAAGCAAGATGGTGGAAATTTTAGACTGGAGATCAAGATAATATAAGTACTAATTAGGTAGTATCTACTTAATTGTTAGTGTTTCTAATAACCGTTATATAGATAGTGAAATTCTAATGATGGAAAAAGAAACTGGTTATATTTCTATTGTATTTAGAAATTAGACGTCTAGTGTTAATAAGATGAAGCGCGATTTTTTTTTATTAGCGTTGCTTGACGCGCAACTTCTATAGAGGCAAGCCGTTACGTCTCCTAAATTAGCCCAACGGTAATTTGTCTTACGTAAGTAACATTATAACGTACCATAGAGTGCCAGATTTAATTTTTGCGAGCAAATTTACTTCATCATGGTCAAAAGGTCGCGAATTCCGGTAATGTATTTTTAGAAAACAGTTCGCAACATAGGTACACTTGAAGTTCACAGACGGGGCTCTATATAGGGCTGATGTTCAGCTGAGGGTAAGCGCAATGAGGCACCGCGACCTCGGCCCAGAGCAGTAGAAGGAACGGGGGGTGTTTAGTCAGTAAGAGTCCGACCCTGGGCGGGAGAAGTCATTTGATGATTTTGAAGTTGTTGCGGAAAAGCAGAATAAGGTGTAATAAGGCCTTGGCCTGGGGCAGAAGGAAGGGAGGCGTTTGTAGTCTGTAAGAGTCATACTCCTTCTTGCCTTACCCTGGGCGAGAGAAGTAATATGACAGTGTTCCCCTCACAAAAAAGGTGTCACGTTATTTGAATTATGACTCCGCGAAGAATATAATAATCCTACGCGTTTAAAATCGTATATACTTATTTTAATATACCTACCTTAAGTATTTAACAAAATAAGCTCCTGCCTATTTGTAAATAATATAAATACAGTAGGTACAATATAAACGCGTCGTGCGTAAGTGACATCTTAAGTTTTTGTGATGCCATATTTACTACACAAATAGGTAATATCAACGAAGTTAAAATTATCCTAGCTTTACTTACATTCTTAACTATAGCTATACGGTAACTAAAATAAATTATCAAGTTATAAAGTTTACTTAATTAAATTAAGTTATGTTTGCCAGACTTCGTGGCAAGGTAAATAATGAGACTGTAGATGGTTAAGGTCTGTTTATTACTTTAATTGCTGGTGCTTATATACTAAGAAGATGCGTGAGATTTTCAGATTTAGCTATCCTAACAAACGTGCAACAATTAACATGTATGTCTTATCTCTATCGTATCTAAGTAATGTAGCGACGTGATAGTGCCGCTACATATACTCCCCCCTTTTAAAAATAATTAACATATAAATTGAAAAAAATTAGTATGTACCTAATTATATAATAACTTAACCTTGCTGATAAATTACATCCTATGCGTAATGTAATGTCATTGTTGCTAATTCGAAGGAAATAAAAACTGCTGCCTTTGTTGTGACGGCGGCGGCAGTCGATGAACTATCCACTGCATTTGTGCTGATACCGGTGGTCCTTTAGTGATAATATGATGCTTAATCTTGTGTTTTGGAGTAGTGTGAAGGGAGGCTGGTTTCGTAATATCCTCGTATTCATTTAATAGTTGAGTAATGCGTGGATTCGTCTCAATGTTAATAGTGCGGATTGTTTGCTGCGTCGATTTGATCAGGGTTGCGGGCGTTGTCAGCTCAGTTACCCTATCTATGACTTTTCGACCAGCTATATCGACTAATAGCTTATAATGCTCTAAAAAATCTGCTCCAATAATCGGTTGTGTTACATCGGCGATGACAAAGTTCCATACAAAGTTTCTTCGTAGCCCGAAGTTTAAAGAGAGTGTTTTTTCACCATATGTCTTAATTTTTGTACCATTGGCGGCATAAAGTATACATTGTTCATCTTGTATTAGTGAATGTCTCTGTGGCTTGCTAATAACTGAAATATTTGCTCCCGTGTCAATCAAAAATCTCATACCACTTTTTCGGTCGGTAATAGTGAGGCGGTTGGACGGGTGAATAGCACAGAGTTCCGCCGTTGTCCGTGCTTCAATTAGTTTCCCTGTTTCCTTGAGTTGAGATCCTGTTTCCAATCACAAGGTTGAACACACTTTTGTGCATATTTTTTAAATCTTCCATGGTAAAAACAAAAGTGCCTTCTTTCTCTTGAACTTGACTGTGGTAGGAAATGCCGACGATTGGAATAACTTTGAGTGCTGCGTCGATAGTTTTTTTGACCTTGCTGAATTGCATTTAGTTCCAATTGCATTTCTGCTAACTGTGCTAGTATGCATGACATTGTATCGTCGCCAGATTTGTTTCCGTTTACAGCTGACACCTCTGTACGTGTTGAATTTATTAATATCTTGTCCGCGATCTGGCTCATCTTGTTCACATCTATGTCTTCTGTGACTGCTAGAACCGAAGTCACTGATGGTGGCAGAAGCCTCAACCATAGAAGTTTGATGGTTTCGTCGCTGATATTTCCGTTACTCAGGGTCCGCATCTTGCGCAGAAGATGTGATGGTTTCTGGTCGCCGAGATCCATTGCAGACAATAATTTTTGGAGCTGACGTTGGTCTGATTCCTCATAGCAACTGATTAGGCGTTCTTTGATAGCCTTGTACTTTTCTATTGGCGGTGGGCAAGTAATGAGGTCACTAACCTGTATTATTTCTTCTTTTGGCAGTTTTGCAATGACCGTATAGTACTTGTAATCGTCTCCTTGCTTCTGTGGTGCTACTATGGCTTCTAGTTGCTTAAACCATAATCTGGGTTGGTCCCTCCAAAATTCCGGAATACGGGATAAAAATGGCGGTTCCGGCTGATATCTCCAAGGCTTCTTGTTGGCTGCTGCTTGATTTGCAGGGTGAATGAGTCATGTTGATTGTTCTTCGTCGGGTCACCAATTTGCCAGACTTCGTGGCAAGGTAAATAATGAGACTGTAGATGGTTAAGGTCTGTTTATTACTTTAATTGCTGGTGCTTATATACTAAGAAGATGCGTGAGATTTTCAGATTTAGCTATCCTAACAAACGTGCAACAATTAACATGTATGTCTTATCTCTATCGTATCTAAGTAATGTAGCGACGTGATAGTGCCGCTACATTACATTACATTATTCTATCTACTTCGTACTTACTATTCATTATCTTCAGATAAAGAATTTAGAAGAAAAAACGCTTTTTTTCACATGGTTTCAGTAGAATAGATAACATAAATTAACAAAACATATGTATATTGTATCTATATCTATAGGTATGTAGGTAGGTACCATATTTTACAATTCGCAAGTATAAGTAATTCAATTCTTATGCAAAATAAATTGTCTACTGCGAAATTAATGTTGCTTATTTAAATGTCATAAAAAGGAAGTCTTGACCTATCTGAGTGGCAGACTAGAATTATAATTAATTAGATTGTCGTAGGTATAAAATATGTATGATTGTATGATTACAATGTGACAGGTAAATAATAATTACTATTCACCTATCACATCAACAATAATATAATGTAGCCCAACCTTTCCCCTCTCGCAATGCCTAACTCTCCAAAACCCTAATCCCCAAAAGGTCGGCAGCGCATTCGTTACTCCTCCGTTGTTGCGTGTGTCTACCCTAATTGCTTACCATCAGGTAATCCGTCTGTTTGTTTGCCGGCCCAACACATAAAAATATTGTAGGTACTTAATTGGAATTTAAAACAACTTGCCTAATTATTTTAATTTATTGAAAGATGTACCAATATGACTGGACATTGCTTACCATCAGTATTTATATTTCGTTTTTCTACGCAATATTTATATTTATCATGCACACACATCAATATTTATATTTCGTTTTTCTTCCCAGGGCACGGTACTGCACTATGTTGAGAGCGGCGACCCTTCGAAGCCTCTAATGATATTTGTTCACGGCTTCCCGGAGTTCTGGTACTCTTGGCGACATCAAATTGTAGATTTCCAGAAGGATTATTGGTAACTATATATTAAATTTTGCATTTATTAAAAAAGACTACAAAATACTGACTTTAATAAGACTAAGTACCAATTTCATATTAAGTAGTATTTTTCGGAAAAAAGTGTGGGATAGCCATGCTTCGGCACGAATGGGTGGGCTCGACCGGAGTGATACCACGGTCTCACAGAAAACCGGCGTGAAACAATCACAGCGTTGTGTTTCGCCGTGTGAGTGAGGTTACCGTAGGTCCAGTCCTTTCCCTCCCCAATCCCTAATCCCCAAATGGTCTCTCTTGTTGCGGGTGTCCAGCGGGCGGCGCTGATTGTTTGGCCAACAGGTAATCCGTCTGCTCGTTAGCGGACTTATTACATAAAAAAGAAAATGAAATGCTAATAAGAAATCAAAGTTTTTTAAAGATATTTCAAAAATATTTTCTCGTACCTTTCTTACCTAAAAGAAGATTCTAGAAAGTACAAAAATAAGTATTACGGCTAGGTACTTCGAAAAACTGCAACTCCAGACTGTGCAAAGCTTGCAAAGTAATGAGTTTTTGTAAACACAGCTGACTTTTAGGAGTTACGCGTTGAGCGCACTTCTCAGTTAATTTTAGTTATTTGTTTACTTTAACTCTTTCGTCAGTTTGCATCATTATTTTTCCAATGTATAAGAAAGTAGGTGGGCAACCATCTTAGAGATGGTTCGAGATTGTGTATATGGAAAACATGAAAGTATTTTAGAATCACACATCCACGATTTCTAGAAGTTCTCGAAGTATGTTCTTGGCAATATGCCTATTAATAAATTCATTAAAGGAATCAGTTATTGGATGTGACCATTTCTTTCCTGACTAATAGAGTCTTTTAGCCAAATCTAAATAATAAAACATAATACATTACCTACTATTATTGTGTAACTTCCACCCATAAGGTGTCTATCAATTCCAGGTGCGTCGCCATTGACATGAGAGGCTACGGAGATTCAGAACGACCAGAGGGCGTTGCTTCTTACCAAATCCAACATCTAGTCGCAGACATAAAAGATCTTGTAATTCAATTAGGTAAAGGCTTTCTATTTCTTTTGTTGAAAATTTTATTGCGACAGAGTTTGACAGCATTGCTTTCTTCAATCGTCGAAATGTGCCTGCGTGACGATGCAAGAATGAATAAATAATTCAATTTGATGTATAAGTATTCGTATTTATTATTTGTAAACATCATTAAGGTCTTAAGAAATATTTTTTGACGTTTGGACGTTAAATTTTATTGTTAACGTGTAGTTTGTCCTACTATCTTGTTGTATACTTTAGTACAGTGATAAACTACGTTGTAGACTTACCTAGTTATGTATATCAAACATGCTGTACAAATAATAAAGGTCAACAGTATTGTTATAATGATATGATATCACTAGCCCTATTCTGTACTTGCATACTTATAGAAAATAATAATATGAGGCAGAGACATATGAACAAAGCATATAATGCACACGTTACTATGCAGTTGCATAATACCTCATGTGAATTATACTCATCGCTATACAAACATAAATCAACGTTTTGATACAAAATGATGCAATGTTGAATCATTGTACATACAATACTTGTTAACTATTAAATTTACCTGCATATAAGTAACTTATGTATTTGGTTTTTTAATGGATGCTGGATCGGTGATGCCGCACAAATTTGATGTCAAGTTAAAAATCTTGGAAATTGCTGAACCGATTATAATGATACTCGGTACTCATTTTTGAAGAAAAGTTTATAGAAACAGAAAGAATATATTTAGGTTTCCATTAGACACAAGGGAAGAAGTAATTTTAATTTTCCATTTTTCTATACAAACATAAAATGTCCAATCATCAAAAATATTTAAAAAATGAACGTAATAAAGTGTTTAGACCTTGATATAATAATTATACACTTACATAATATGTACCAAGATCTACCTATTTGAAATTGTTTCAGTAGTTTCCATGTTTATTTACTAGAATATTCTGTCATTAGTGCTAATAATTTATTATATTCTTTTAGGGAGAGAGAAATGTATTTTAATTTCTCACGACTGGGGTGGCTTGATCGCTTGTCAGTTCCGCAACCAGCACCCTGAAATGTTGCATGGACTGGTCATGCTGGCCAGCACATCAAGTACAGCTTGGGTCCGCGAGATTTGGAACAACCCTGAACAAAGAAAGCAATCTTGGTAAGTTAAAGTTACCTACGTCATCCTGTTTCCCTGAGATTTAGATCTCTTCTTACCTAGGAACTAACCATTGTCTTTCTTGGTTTGTTTTTTAAATAAGAGTAACAATTTTGCCAATATTTTTATGTTGTTTTTTTTCACGGGAGAAGGTTCTTATGAAAGACCATGTTTATATTGGATTTTTTTACCTTAATTTGACCTTTTGTTTTAACGATGTAGTTGACAACCCTTGCGAAGCAGGGGCGGCGTCTACATTGAATAAATTAGGTAGGTACGTGGTCAGCTATGAGTTTCTAGACAAATATTTTAATTATTTCTTGGAATTATTTTTATATAAAGACATATGTGTCAAATTCTTCAACGAAACCAATAATCTGAACAACAATGGCATTGGAAATCAATAAAACCGTGAATTGCCAATTTCACCAATTCATGTTTATTGCAAGTATCATTGTCAGATCAAGTGGTTGTTAACTGGGGTCGTTACGGTAGCACATATGTATACTTATCTATAGTGATGTATACAGAGACCAAAAGAGAAATCATGCATTTTAAAATGACGTAATTTTCTGGGCTTTTGTATACCTAAGTATATTTTCCTTTTGTACGATATGTTACCTCTTTTTGCGGATACATTTACTTATAAATAATACGAGTCTCATCACGACTGCCAACTGCGTAGGCTTGTTTTACAGTTAACTTAAACTTATTATCTTATGTATACCGCATGAACCACTAAGGAATTTAGATATTTATAAAGTAGGATACAAGCATGGGAGAGCCTAGTTCGGCACGAATTAATTTAGGGGTCAAAGACAACCGCCGTGAAATAACTACAGCGTTGCGTTTCGTATGAGTGAGGTGTGAAAGATTGAAGAGTAGAAGGCCCAATCTTTCCCATACCCCCATTCCTAAATCTCCGAAACCCTAATCCCCAAAGGGCTGGGAATATACTCTGGCTTCATTGCTTACGTTCAAGTAATTCATCTCTTTGTTTGCCGTCCTATCACATAATAAAAACGCCAGTTTAGTAAACTGGTATTTCTTAAGAACGTCACACCCATTCATTAATTTATCCTCGCACGCACACAGTTGTAATTATTTTAGTTTTATGACGTAGGGTATTTTTTTAATAGGTACGTGTATTTTGCGGTTTTACATTTTTGTTATTATAGCTGTACATGACAGGTAATGTGGAAAAAACAGAGGATCAACTAAGTGGCGTAAAAAAATGAGCATAATGCTAATAGGATTTACGCACCATAGATTTTAAATTATAAGATGTCTTCAAATATTTTTGTAGTCAAAAAAGATTTTAAGACATCTTATAATTTGCAATACGTTGTACGTTTCGTTCCACGAGTTTAAGTTTAGAATCTCGATAGATTTGGTTATAAATTATGCCGTGTAAGTTGATATTATGAAAGCTAGATAGATATCCTTTAAGAAACGAAGATATATACGACTTAACAAAAAATCTGTATAACAATCTATTTAACTATGTTCACCAAACAACCAAATTATTTCTGAACTTTATATGGTTGGTGTCCACTCGTACCTAGTAGTTTTCGTTGAAAATGATGCAATAATGTTAAGAAATGTAGCTGAATGTTTTTATTACTAAATTATGTATTGGTAAGGTCTAACTATAATTATTAATTCGTTGATTTTTCCAGGTACGTGTTCATGTATCGGGCACCAGTTATACCTGAAAAAGCACTTCTCATGAATGATCTAGAAATTTATGAGAAAGTCATGTTGCTGCCTGGTAAAACCAATACTGATAAAGAAGACATCGAGTGCTACAAGTACTGGTTCCGTAAGCCACGTAAGTTTTATTTTTTATACTCTGTTAACAGCTGTCCATACAACATGCTTACTTGGTCAGTTTAATATCAAGTGACGGATTTCACTAAGCTACGGGGCACGTGTAGCGTTAGGGACGTGGCGTAGTTTACTTAGAAGCATAGCATACGTAGAAAAGCATAGCATAAGTAGGTAGCGTATTATATACGTAGCGTACGTCGTTTTGCTAACGAACTTAGCGTCGTGTAGCACACGTAGCGTTGCGTAGCATATGTAGCGTAGCGTAGGTACGTAGTACGCTAGTAACGTAGGTAAGTACGTACGCTTACGTAGCGTTGTTGTTACGTAGAGTACGTAGCGCTGCCTAGAATACATGGCGTTGTATAGCACACGAGCGCTGTCTAGTATAAGTAACGTTGTTATCATGTAGCATACGTAGCCTACATAGCCCTGCCTAGCATACGTAGCGTAGCTATGTAGCTTACGTAGCATTCGTAGCGTTGCCTAGCATACGTAGCATACATAGTGTAGCGGAGTATGGTATGATTATTGCGGTTGTATCTGTCTTTAAAAACTGTTTTAGAGACACGTTATTAAAAATACTTTGTGGTCGTACCGGTAGATGACCTTAGTAATTAGTACCCACTTATAAGATTAAAATATAATACCTACCTTAAAAATACGTTGTACCTATCTTGAGCTCCTTTCGCTTCGCTGATGCAGTAAAATTCACTGGACTGGAAGTCAGTTTAAATTCAGTATAGACAAATTTAGCTCGATTTTTTTAGAACTCATTATAAAAATAAGTAACTAAGTATGCCACGTGTGCTTTTAAGGGACATTTATGTGTATTACGCCATCTATTATTGACTAATGTGACTTATGTTTTTTTTGCAGTTGCTCTAACGCCCCCAATCAACTACTACCGAGCCAACTTCAGATTCGACATGCCGGAGATTGTTGAACATAAAGAGAACGTACCCATGCTAGTGGCACTCGCAGCCAACGACCTTTATCTCAGCCACAGCTTGCTTGACACCATAAAGAAGGAGTATTCTACTATAGAGACCGCAATTGTTGAAAACGCGAGCCATTTCTTACAGCAAGAAGAGCCAGAGAAAGTGAACAAACTGATCAGAGACTTCCTCTCTAAGAATAATATTTAAATTTGTTCTATTATTTTATCATCGTAGCTTTCGATGTTAAGTGTAACCTAATAATTTTGAATGATTAGACCGTTACAACAATGGGCGTAGCCATTGTGTAAGAGCATCAAGTGTCTATTCTGTAATTTGTTGTATTTTGATTATTCTTGTAATAAAATGTATTTGATAAAATGTGTGCCTTTATAGTCAATGTTTTAATAAGCATTACTAAATGTTAACCTATCTTACAAGCACGATAGTGTTCTAATAAGAAAATAAGTAATAAAATATATTATTTTTTTACATACCTGATTTTATCTTATTTTTTTACAACTAGTAACAAAATCCTTTTTATGTTTCATAGAATTTTGTTTCGGGTCTGGGTGTGTGTAGACAGGAAATCCCAGGGTAGGGCAAAAATTTTGATGTCAATGAATACTGAAATAAAAAGGAGAAATTATTATTGTACCTATTCCATCTGTGTGGATAACGTTATTTTTGGCTCAAAATTAAATTGTCTATCTTTGTCTCTTTGAGTATAAATAGCGGGTCAAATATATACCTAGGTACATAAACATTTTTATCGACGTCATTGTCGTACTAGGACAACTACCTAACAACTACTTAGGTACTATTTAAGTTAGTGGGCAGAATATGGCTAAGAACTCACGGAGCGATTTTGAACCGTGCCCGCCGCGGTACCGGAACTGTGGTTTTATTTCCGAACTCACGAGACCGGTTATTTGCGCGGTTACACAGCCGCCGCGGTTGCGATCATCGCCCGCAAACGTGGATCGCAAGATTGCAAGACGGGCGGTTAACGATCAGTTGAGGTCCAAACAGTTGCGTTATATTTACTTCACAGAAGACCCGCCGGCCCCCGCGGTCGCTCGCCAACCGATCGCAAAGCGCGCGGGTGCCACCCGCCGAGGCTGCGGGTAACCGCGGCCCGCGCGATTCTACTAGTTGCCCGCCGGTATAGCGGGAGCCGCATACAACCGCGTACACCGCGGGCGTAAAACGCGTCGTGAAATGTGCTTTGATTTTTTTATATAAATATTTGAATTCTACAGAAGCTGCGGGCCCGCAACCGCAGCGGACGCGGGCGAAAATCGCTCCGTGAGTTCTTAGCCTATATTAGTCATATACATTTTCTACCAATAGACATATTTGGAGCTAATGCAGTCATTTGTATGCTGTTACTTCGAGACGAGGCGGAATATATCCAACATGAGATCTTACCACATTTATTTCGATATGTATATCTAGAAAACTAGAAATTTACAATTTTCAAGGAGAGGACAGCGCAAAAGCTTGCTTATTTGAAGAAAGTAGTTATATATGTATATGTGAGTACATAGGTAAGTAATATAGTAGAAAGCTCGGATTTTATATCACTATTTCGTATATGAAATGTGTAAAAATGTAGAAACTGTCACTATTTAGATCCTAGGTCGCTATTCCGCTAATGATTGTTGTAGTAGAACTAATTGCTAGCGCCTGCCCAAAGTAACTTTTTGTATGAAACGAAATCCTTTCCTTTTTGTTAAGTACTAGATATTTGTAAATAACTTATAGTTAGGTACTAATACCAATTGTGGCTACAAAATATCTAAGTATGTATCGCGAAGATCTCTATTCAATCTCTAGAAGTGATTAATTTAAAGTCAGGTGTAATACCGTCTTCTATGCCTTTAATACTGGAAAAATCATAACCCCAGATACCAGATGACATAGCTTTTGATTTTAAAGTATTTAGACGCTCTCTAGTAATTAGCGACTGAAGCATTTGCTGCTTTTGATATATGGGCGGGCCAGTTCTGTTTATGGATCCTGGGTTTACAAATTCCAGCATAGAAGGTATGAAAGCTGATTTAGTACAGAATAGTAGATATCTATACCCTATAGCGACGGGGCATTAATGGCCTCAATTGGGCTCTCTCCGATGGCAGAAAAACTATTTGAGGATGTGTTCGAATATGCGATGTGATCATCTTATCATATTTCTAACTGGGAAAAGAAATAAACGAAAAATACACTTGAATAGTTTTCGTGATTCTTAAATGTGACACTAATAATATTTTACACTTTGCAACACTAAACCGTCTTCGATTCTCTGTGATCAAGGTCATGTCACAATATAACCGCTCTGATTTGTAAACTGTTCAGAAAATGTTCTATCTCTTTTCTGTAACACCATAAGCCTACAAAACAAGCTCAGATATCTAATGGCATCTCGCTCTAACTTGTTTCTTTCTATTTGGAAAGATAATACTCCGCCACAAATGAAATGAAAGCTAATGGCGAGAAAGGGCGGGAAACTGCGAACTGAATAGGCGTCTTTTTTCGGCTGCGAATTTTATTTCTTGAAATAAGGATCAGATAAGGAGTTTTGTGCATATATATTTTGCTTCTCTTTTATCTATATTTACGTATTATTTTATATAAAGTCCTCATCTCGGCGAGTTCTTGGTGAGTAAACTTCATAACATGAATGAGCCCCCTGACGATCCTGGTGGTGGATTAACGCCACTGGAGGTCCCTGAGGCCTCCAATTTTATTACATATCCTCCAAACTGTCCCCCTAGAGAAGAGTCAGATGGCTCATTTTTTGACACAGATGCTTCTGAAAATACAAATACTTCCACACTTAAACGTAAACGAGTTTCAGTTAGGAAAATATGTAAGCAATGTAATAAGAAAAAGCGAAAGCACAGGAAAGTAGATGGTCCTGTACCTTCGAATGAATGTCAGTGTATTTTTGATGATGAAATGGCTGTGCCTACACAAAGTTTGGGTAATAACTTCACCCCTCCAGCTCCACTTCACAGCAGCACCCCACTGTTGAATGAGTCGAATGTATCTCAACGTGTCCAGCCTCCACCAACTGAACAGCCTAGTGCCCCGGTTGCTAGGCCTCGGTATGTTTCCACGGACCTGTCTCCATATGTTGTACATGTGATGAAGGAACAATCAACACCTAATGAAAATTGCACCATGCACCCAGTGTCATTTGGCTATTTTCTTAAAAAACATTGTTTCAGAAATGTAATAAACGGAAGTCTTAAAAGGGTAGGACGAAATAGGCTCTCAATTTCCTTTTCTAACTATGAAGATGCTAACAGTTTCCTTAATAATGACATTTTAAAACAGTATAATTACAAAACATTTATTCCAATATCCAATATTACTCGTATGGGTGTGATAAGAGGTGTCCCTGTCAGCTGGAGTGATGATGAAATCATTAAGAACATAAGTGTTCCTACTGGATGTGGTAGTGTGTTAAAGGTTAGGCGGTTAAAGAAAAAAACAACAGTTAATGGTAAATCAGAATTTACTCCAATTGAGACAGTCGTTGTAACTTTTGATGGACAGGTTTTGCCAAAAAGGATATTTTTGTGTTACAACTCTCTACCTGTTGATCTGTACATATATCCAACAATCCAATGCTTTAAGTGCTGTAGATACGGACACGTCAAAAGCCAATGTAGATCTTTGCCAAGGTGCTTTAAATGTGGTCACGGTCACACAGGAGATACCTGTGAAATTGATGAAGAAAATATTACTTGCTTCTTGTGTTCTGGTTTCCACATGGCAACCAGTAGAAAATGTCCAGAATATAACAGACAAAAGAGTATAAAAGAGACAATGGCAAAGAGCTGCATAACTTATTCTGAGGCTCTAAAATTACATCCCCCGATTTCTAAATCTTATGCCGATGTTTTAATGACTGTTAAACCTAATCAGCAAGACTCTCACAATTTCAGTTACAATCTACCTAATCTGCAAAATAATACAACAACTCATTCTTATAAAAAAACAGTTTTCTTAAAACCAAAAACTATACACAGACCAAGTAAAGGTTATAACCGTAGTGAACATGAGACTTTGACAAGAGATTACAACACCCCATTTGCGCCTAGTAAAAGTATCTTGGTAAATAGCGATAATAATGTTCAATCTAATGATTCACTTGCAAACTTATCAATTAAAGATCTTCTTATCACACTCATAACCTCTTTATCTCACAACAATCTGTTGTCACCGTCCAACGTTGCCATATTAAAAAATGATGTTATGATGAATCCAAATAACGTTAATTATGGGAAAGAAGTCTCAAGTAATCCAATGGAATTGCAGGAGCATTAATAATAAGAAAAGCGACTTAATTTATTTGTTAAATTCTTTAGAGCCTTTTGTGGTGGCTCTACAGGAAACGTGGCTACGGCCTGAATATACTTTTAAAATATTTGGATATTTCTGTCTAAGAGAAGATAGATTCGACAACTACGCTGGTGTTGCCTTACTCATTAAAAATAATGTCCCTTTCTCTCGTATAAATTTTCCTGAACATAGTAATAAAATTGGCATTGTAGCAGCATCTATAAATAATATTTCATTTGTCTCCGTATATATTCCTGATCCATCCTCTTTAGTTTATGATGAGTTAGAAAGCTTATTAGCAAATATACCTAAACCGATACTGATAATGGGCGATTTCAATGCTCAGCATCAGTCATGGGGAAGCACTTATTCTAATCATTATGGCAGCAGGATTTTAGAATTTTTAGATAGAAATAATTTATGCTTACTTAACACTGGTAACTTTACTCGCCTCACTCGTCCCCATGAAGGGAAAAGTGTCCCTGATTTAACGATCTCCAGCGCTAGCCTATCCTCCCTGTTATCATGGGCAACTCTAACATCAACTTATGGAAGTGACCATTATCCTATAGTCGTAACTTTTCCTTCAGATAATAATGCAGTGAACATTCGATCCCCACGTCTCAAACATAATTTAAAGAATGCTGATTGGTTCCTTTTCAAAGAAAATGTGACAAAAAAGGTTTCATCTCTTCCACCAGTCGATAATAGTAATCAGATTGAGTGTGCGGAAGCTTTAGCCCGTGTTCTAGTAGAGGCAGCTGATGAGTCTTTTCCTACAAAAAAACACGGTTCTAATAAAATTACATCTCCACCTTGGTGGGACAATGAATGTTCTGAGGCTATAAAAAAAAGAAAACAGGCTGAGAGAACCTACATTCTTCACTCTACTGAAGAAAACTTTGAAATCTTTTCTCGAATTTCTGCGGATACTAGGAAGCTGTTCAAGAAAAAAAAATGGGAAAGCTGGAGAAACTTCTGTTCTTCTTTATGTCCTGATACTCCCCCATCAGTCATCTGGGCCAATATAAGACGTTTCAGATCCGTTTATAAAGAACCGAAACCACCTTTCCTTCCCGAACAACTAACTGATGTCTTTTTAGATAAATTAGCCCCTGCTTTTGTCCCTCACAATTACACTGCTTTGTACAAATCTTTATCTGACGTAGAACATACTGGCCTCAATGCTCCTTTTAAGCTTACAGAACTTAAGGGAATCCTCTCTTACGTGAAAGATTCTGCCCCAGGTTTAGATGGCATTCCATACTCTTTCTTTTGTAATCTGCCTGAATCGTTTTTGTCTTACCATCTCGCACTGATCAATTCGATAATGTTTTCGGGTAGTATCCCTCCGTCGTGGAAAGTGCAAGAAGTTATACCTATTCTAAAACCAAACAAACCTTCATCAAACGTAGAATCATATCGTCCTATTGCTCTTTCTTCAGTTTTAATCAAAATTATGGAACATTTAGTAAAGAATAGACTTGAATGGTACATAGAAAGCAAAGGGTTAGTAAACAACAGTCAGTTCGGTTTTAGAAAAGGTAGAAGCACTTCAGATAGCATAGCTATTTTTACAACAGATATTAGACTAGCTTTTTCTGAAAATCACCACCTATTAGCCACATTCTTAGACATTTCTGCCGCGTACGACAACGTTATTTTATCAATTCTTATTGATAAATTACGCATTCTTAATGTGCCGCAAATTTTAATAAATTTCATTATAAATATCCTATCTGGACGAAGTATTCATGTCATAGACGAAAATTTGAATAAGAAATCAAGGGTGTTATGGAACGGCTTGCCACAAGGCTCTGTGTTATCGCCTCTTCTTTTTAACCTCTACTGTTATGATTTAGAAGCATCCTTAGGCAATCATATCAGTATTTTGCAGTATGCTGATGATCTTCTCATATATGCATCGGGAAATAATATAAACAGGTTATGCGACATACTTACTACTTCTCTTACATCCTTAAAGTTATGGTTAGATGCTAATGGCATGTCCCTGTCGGTTCCAAAAAGCTCTGTAGTTCTTTTTTCCAGAATGAGATGCCCCCCGCCAATCTTTGTTTTTTATGATAATACCCTTATGCCTGCCAACAATGAAGCCAAATTTTTAGGTGTCATATTAGATTCTAAACTTACCGGACTATCCCACTGCTATTGTATTGTCAACAGATGCGAACGTTTGCTCAACATCTTAAGATGTTTATCTGGTGTATGGTGGGGCGCCCACCCCTTTAGTTTAAAGCTTCTGTATAATGCCATAATAAGAAGCATTCTTGATTATGGAACTCAATTCTTAGAACCGTGTAATGTTACTGGACTCCGAAAACTAGATGCTATCCAAGCAAAAGCTCTACGTATTGTGACGGGTGCCATGAAATCAAGCCCGATTAATGCATTGCAGGTGGAATGCGCAGATCCTCCCTTAAGACTCCGACGCCAATTTTTGAGCGATAAATTTTTGTTCCGAGCTCTCCAGTTAGCTAACCACCCTCTTTATTCTAAACTTTCTAACTTATCTGAATATGTTAATACTTCTCCATACTGGGCTCAAAAAAACCCGCCCTGTCTAGTACTCAGTTTTCGCAAATTCCTCTCACTTCAAGCTCCCACGCACCGATCAGCTTATCTCCCTATTTTCTCATCAGACTATGAGTCATTAGTTTTACCGTTGGATATCACTCTTGATATTGAGCTATCTAGAAATGACCCACACACTAACATCAAATTCAATTTTCTCGTCGACAGTCGCTGGCAGAATTGGCATCATTTGTATTCTGATGCTTCTAAACATCTGAGGAACGGACATGTAGGCGTTGGTATTTTCCATAAGCAATATAAAATAATCCAGATGGTCAAATTTCCTCCTGAAACGTCAGTATTTACAGGAGAATGTTACGGTATCTTCAAATGTTTGGAATACATCCTTCTTCTAAAACTTAAAAAATCTGTTATTTTTTCTGATTCCAAAAGCGCCCTTCAGGCATTAGCCAAATATCCGTTCAAATCAAACAATTGTTATCCAATCATTCTTGACTGTAGAAAACTCTTAAACAGATGTATCTCCATGGGGTTACAAGTAGCCCTTGTTTGGATTCCTGGTCACGCTAATATCGCAGGGAATGTTAAAGCCGACCATGTTGCTAATGAGGCTGTGTGCAGTGGTGACATTTTTCCTTATAAAAATTACGCTCACGATTTAGCAGCCCTCCCTAAAACTTATTTGTACGATTCTTGGACGCAGGACTGGAACAGTAGTAGTCAGGTCAAAGGGAAATTATACAAGCAGATTCAACCGAGTATTCCTGTTAAACCCTGGTTTTTTAAAATGAATTTTAACAAAGTTGTGACTTCTTGTCTTATACGAATGCGACTGGGACATGTTTGTACACCGGCTCACTTAGCAAAATTTGGTATTATTAATAGTGATATATGTGACTGTGGAGCTGATGCGGTAGGAGATTTGAACCACATTTTCTTTGCCTGCCAAAAATACAACTGCAGTTATTTCATTCATTGTTTATTATCTCTTAATGTTCCTATGCCTACTTCCATCCCCTGCCTCTTGTCTTATAATGATATTAATATATATAAATGTATGTCTATTTTTATTTCTAATAATAATATAAAATTATAAGATATTTATGTAACCCGTTTAATATATCCTGAAATCCTCTCTCTCTGATCCTGCAAAATTTTTCCCTATCCGGTTTCCTTTCATAATTAATGCGTTTCCCTATCTTTACTTCGTAGTGGCAGATGCACAAACCGTGCGAGCCAAAACACAAAAAAAAAAAAAAAAAAAAGCTAATGGCTGCTGTACTCTAATCAAGAAACAGCTGATATGCGCCTTTTAGTTTTACTTAGAAATCGGTGTTTTATTTAAATTTATCGTTTGAAATTACGTAGATGAAACGTTACTCGTGTGACAATTTTGTGTGGATACCAGGGTTGGTGCAGTTCTGTTTTAAAATCGATTTTTGAAGTGGTCTGTTGTGAGTTTTCTACATTGCTGGTTTTTTCAGATGTCACTGACCATACAGCAAATAATTTTGGATGCTAAACGACTTGCGGGACGTCTCAAAGAGCGCGAGACTGAAGCTGATGCTTTGCTAACCGAAACTCAAACTGCTTACAGACAAATACATACAATGAAACAGGTAGGTTGTTGGAATGTGATACGAGTACAAAACTATGACGCTCGGTCTTGTCTATTGTCTGAATAACTAATTAATAGAACAAGATTATAAGTAATCATCATTACTATTACTCATTACTTTAATAAGATTCAAAATTGAAGTAAACATAATTTTAACAGTTCCATGACCTTGTGGATTGTTTGTCTTATGTTGTGTAAACAGCTAGCTTTCACATAAGTCAATTAGCCACCTCCTGGATTTACTAAAATGTTATCAACATTCAACATACCATACCTGATAATAATAACAAACATTTAAATAATGTTGGAAATTGAACGGCTTACCTATATTAATATTCAAGTCTGCGGATTTTACATATTATATTAACATGTTATTGACATAATTATATTTACATTAAGGATAATATCCTCTATTTTATCCTGCAGCTATACAAATTGTGAAAAAATATTCATTGTCTGTGTATATATATATTGATGTATGTGGATCGCCTAAGGCATGCTAGTGAAAGGTGTACCATGATCAATTTAAAAAGATGAGCTGGCAAGGTGTCAGTTCTGAATAGTATACTATATCTACTTATATACTTTTGATTTACTAATTGACAACTTTGGCTCCATGCCATATCTTCTTTACTGACATAGTGAACAACAATGTGTTGTTTTTTAACACTAGGGCTACTATCTCTATAATGTACCGGATAAGTTAGCTGAACCTATTGGAATGTGGTTTTTAGAGAAGTGGTAGTACACTTAGAAACAGGTTTTAGTATATTACTCGACTTTAATCGTAACCCTCCCCCCCCCCCAGATGCTCTCCGACCAAGTGTCTTCCAAACTAGAACAAATGTGGAGAGCTGGTCTGATGGCAGCCCTACATAACTCACTTTTTCATAAATCAAGCTTTATTTTTCTGTTACAAAATAAATTAATACAAAAATACTAATGTGAAGATATTTCTTTTTCTTATAGCTAGTGATTAGACTTTCCATAAACTCGAACTTAAAGTCCTGTAAACATTTAATAATAATTCTAAAAATAAGATGAATGAAATGATGCTATTGCTTCAATTTGTACAATTTAGAAACCTTAGAAAATTTAGAAGCCTATAAAGTTGTCACAAATTATTTAATTGGTTTTTCCTTTAGTATTCACTGTGATTTAAGAGAAACCTAATAATAAAATAGGTAGGTTGTTTATAATTAGAACCTTATTTATAGGAGGAAATTATTATCCAAAATATGAAACAAAACTTCATAAATAAATGGACAACACAAATAACCATGATTTACCAATGACATGATTCGAAAGTTTATTTTATTGATACATACTCATCATTTGATTTTTTTGTTTGCAAAAGAATAAGATGAGTATTATTGAAACAATATATTATAAATATTTTAATTAAATTTCAGTATAAAGAAGAAATTGATACTTTGAATGAGGCTTCTCGTGACAGACCAAGAGGGGCTCTCATTGGCAGTATTGAGCGGGAGTCCCGTTTGATGCGAGATGTACAACGCGAGAATGGCGAGCTGAGGGCAGCCCTGGAAGATCACAGACGAGCATTGGAGCTCATCATGTCCAAATACCGACAGCACACTGAGAAAAGAGTGTGGGAGTCGAGGATAGATTTTACAAATGCTATCAATGAAAAACAGCAGGAGGTAGGTGAAATTACTTTATTTTATAATCTGGAATATATCAGATACTGGATAGGTTATTTATAATTAGATAAACAAGTGGCCAAAAGTAACATGTACTTTACTCCCACACATTTGTAATGAACTAAAAATAAGGAGTAGAAAATGTAAATATGGATTTAATTTAAGAGCATGTTTTGCTACTTTGGTGTAATAATTTGGTCTAATCCTGTAGCCCTATTTGTTCATAGCATACAAGTGTGTAATTGTTAATTACAGTTAATCCGGCAACAAGCTGAAAGAATTAACGAGATGACAAGTATTATGTACAAAGCTGTAACTTTGGATGAAAACAGTGATGCGAGGAAAGAAGAGGAACTCTACCAAAGGCTCATTACAGAAAATAAGGTGAAGAAACAATTTTTATGACTATTTTATTTTAATAGAATTTGTATATGTGTTTGTTACTGTTACAATTACATTGGTTTTGGTTGCAATTGCAGGGTTTGAGAGAAATGCTGGATCTGTCAAGGAGATACGGTTCAGACCGTCCGTGTGTGCCGCTCACGGAGGATAAGGACGTGCAGACAGATGGGCCGCCACTGTCTGGCGCGTGACGGTCCGTGCTCGAGCCCTGCCGCCTGTGAACGCACGGCGCTGGCGGCCCTGGAATCGCTGCCTCGCCGCGACACTCTCATAGGTAGACAACACACCTCCTGTCCGCACATTTGAAACCCTACCAACACGGACTTTTGTACTCAATAGTGTGTACATATTTACTTAAGATAACTGCGTAATTCATGTGCCCAAAGTCCTTCAGAAGTTGAAATGCAATACCAATGGAATTATGTGTAGATGACTTATATTATATTGTCTAAATCTAAGTTTGGATGTGTCGTGACGGTTAAGACGTCGGTATGCATTTGAATTTAGTGACAATAATTGTCTTTGGTATCCTTTGTAACGATTGGGCATCTAAGCCCGGTTTCACAACAGTAACTGATCTTAAAGCGTGTAATACTTGATTGGTCTGATCGTAAAACAGTTGCGACACAACTGTGACATACTTGCTGTGATATGACTAGCAGAATATCAGCCCCTTACGACTAGTACTTACTGTCCACGTTATTAGATGCATCTATGTTGCAAATGTGATGATGAATCGGAATAATGTCAGATGTGCAGGCAGGGTTGTAATGATTTGCTAACAACAGTCACCGTTCCAGTATACAACTTGTATTTTATTGTTACTCACAGGTTTTGGATCTTAGGTCTTTTGACATATGTACCTTTCAAATTCACATTTATTTAATAATGTGAGTGTTACAAATTAAATACAGCGAAAACTACAATGTAGCTAATAAAATCATTTGGTTTATCCTTTGGTTGTATTTGATGTTAAATATTATAAAATAGGAGTATATTTAAATGGCGTTTCCAGTTAGAGCTCATGTTATATCTATATATAGATTGTATCGTGTTCACACTACGTCTATAATGATAAAGCCATTTTGTGTAACCAAATCACTTGATATGGCAGAAACTGTGATCTTTAGTATTGCGCTGTTAAGTTGTAGAATGTTTCACTGTTCTTCACTAAACACTCAATCACAATTTGACCAAGGGCCTGTTTTATCACCTTCATATACCTGTTAAACTTAGGTGATGTGTAGATAAACACCATGTACAAGATAAATTTGAATATGAAATATAATTTGTATGAACTATGTTTGTCACATAAGTTTCTCGGTAACATGATGGTGGTAAAACAAGCGCTAGTTGAGGATAATAATAATAATACATAACTTCATTTATTTGTTTTCATTCATATAATATCATTAGATAACTGAATATCTTATTGTAATAATAAATGCTTGCAACATCATGGCATGTGTGGTTGGTCATCTGTTAATTTTATTCTAATGAAATATATATATCCCAAAACATAATTCTATCATTTGTTTGTAATACTCGTTGTGTACCTACCATAGTTATGTTTTAAATTCTAGAAAATGTACTTTGTTTAGCATGATATTAGAATTCTCGAATTACATTTAGAATTAAATAAATTGTAACTTTAATTTGTCATTGCTCTTACGATCTCCCTGTCGCCCTGCAAAAGGATGTAGGTATGGGAGGATTAAATTGAGTATTATACTTATATTATCATTACCTAATCACATGTTTACTAGTCAATTCATATGAGCAGGACAAATAAGTACCGTATACATACCTTACACTGCATAGGATTTTATGTTTTAGTTCATGTTGTTGAATCATAGTTAAAATAACCTCCATCGTCTTTTATGATTGTTGAGCGTTATTGCAATAGTGGCTATCAGTAAAGTATTAACTCATATAATATGCAATATTTTTTCATGTAATTTAGCGGGATCAGCTTTGAATGTTAGCATAATGGTAGAAATTGTAGATGATTCTTTGTAGGGAAATTCGTAAATTCTTAATAATGCCAGAGGCAAATACAAGCAATACACTAAGAACTGTTACATGTAAGGAATCTTTGTTGACTCTGCTCACTTCATGATCATTATTTAAGTGTACAATAGGGTAGCTGTGCTTGTCTTGCATTGGGAACTAATATAGAATAATGTACTATTTACTGATCTACAGGATACATTCGATGCAATAATTCGAGATATGACGAGGTTCATTTATGAGATTTATAAAAGTTCTTAGATATTAGACATAAAATTGTTATTATATAAACCTATGACTTGATTTTCCCTTTATCTGGTTGTGTGGTTTAATTCGTTTAACCAATCACCAATGAAAATTTTAATGAGAATGTTAAGTTCTTATTTCGTTTAAGTAGTTAATAGGTAACCTTGTTAAGATAAATTTAAGAGTGCTTACTTGTGTTTGTACCCATGTTTCATGGTCAATGAGCTGAAATACCCACTTGCACAAATAGTAAAATGTTAGTAAATTGTTTTATTTACTTTCATGAACTGAATAATCAAGTTTAAAACACCATTAATAAAATCAATAATAATATAACGTAAAATTTATGATAAATGAATTTTGGAAGGAAATAAGAGATCTTTGTTAAAAACTATTTTTACAGTTAATTAGATGTTAAATTATATTTTAAGGGTTCTCATTATATGGCTCCAGAATATAGAAAATATTATTATTCAAATACGTATATTGTATGTTTCTTAAATGTACACGCTTGTATGAGGTTTTGAACTTAAAAACACATGTAGTTGAAAAAGTTTAGAATAATGTTTCTGCTTAGTTTATATGCATTTATATAATACCTCATTATTGGGAATTATACCTCCTATTTTGTTAAACCTAGATGGTTTCTTGGGGAACCTTTATGTAATGTGCTAAATTCTTTAGTTAGAGACAATTATTATGAAAAATCTGTGTGATAAATCCAGTCCACTTGCGACTTGTAATTGTTTCATATCTGGCAATGCCGATAAAATTGGCGTAATGTTTTGAAGACATACATAGATACCTCTGTTATGAGCAATGGTAGGAGGTCACTAGTTTTTTCTGCTGTAGAACAACACTGTAGAGCAAAAATGATTAATGTATGTTTAATTAAAAATGTAATTGATAATTATATGATATAAAACTAATAACTCTTTTATTACAAAATGATTAATTTTTATCGAAAATAATATAATCTACCTATACAGGCTTATTCCAACACACAGGCATTTGTGGTGCAAAAAGTAAACAAACATAGAATATCACTTACGCATAACGCGTAACTTATTGTAATAGTTGGGATTCTTCTTCCCAGGTTTCGGGGCATACGTACTGACAGTATGGTAAGTTTTTTTTTAAGTCTGTGGCAAAGTGTTACTTTCAATGGTTAGTGCAACCTGGTAATGTGAAACGACAAACGCTTGTGATTTGCTGAGTACCGTTTAATTTTTCAATATACATCTGAGATACGACGCTCTGCGACAAGAACGATAGTCACATTCCAATTCGCATTGATTTGTTATGAGTGGCGTAAGCCAGCAAACTTGAATATTGCCTTCCGGCTAGCAGGCGTAAGACTCGGATCTCGTGTCGAATCATGATGATAAACCATTGAAGTCGTGAGACGTAAACCTTGTGATCGGTTCGATCAATTGGATCTCTTAGTAGTGGGTAATACATTGTCAGCATTCGACCCCTCCAGGAGTGCTACATATCATGGGCAGGATTATGATGTTCAAAAAATAAACAATATAGATTATCACTTTATTATTAACAAACATTCTTCAATCCTAATAGATAAGCATGTAATAAGTCACAAATTTATGATAACTGTAATGCTACAGATATTTTGAAAATTGATTAACAACTATTTCTTTAAATTAGCACTTTTATATTAATATATTAAGGTACAATCCAGGCTGAGTTCACTTCACTGTTCACTTTTGTCCACCCCACAGATACAATATTTAATTAGGCAAAAAATAAGTCATGGTCACACAGTTCTAGATTCTCTACAAGTTGCTATTATAAATTATTAGAGTTTCAATATGTACAATGTTAATAAAAAAGTAATAAATAAAACCCACAGATGTGACAAAGCAGTATATTAGACAATCTTATTATAAACACAACTCTATCTGAACCCCCAGCTATGCAAACTGCAAAATTCAAATGTAACTTATGGATCATACTCTCGTCTGAGTATAATCTGTAGGGAACTTGAAGGAATGTTGGCCAAGAGCCTGGATGTTTGGCAGCAGACCTGCGTTAGGTATGATGTTCCACGATAGAGTTAGAGTAACATTGCTGTGACCCCTGTAAAGAATAAAAGGTTACTTTTATTTTAAGACCCATAAGAAACATCTGATATAATATTCTAAATGGTTAAAAAAATATTTGATCTCTGTAGATATAAAATAGATACAGCAAATTGTGAAAGTAGTACTGCACCTCCATATTACAAAACAAGATTTATCTATAGTCTAGGTTTAAACCATTGAATCTTATTCTCACCTATTTTCAAATTATAAATACAAAAACTGGCTCAATTGATAATGAACCCAGGAAAGTTTACAATTTGAGTTACACATTGAGTGTATAGCAGCGAAAAGTAAAAAATATTAGGTGTAATGAGTTGCTACAGAAATGTACAAAAATGTTGTTTTTAAATATATATAAAATAGATGAACCAATATTCGTAAGATAAGTTAAAATCAATTCAAACTTACTTTAAACCATTGCCATCATCCCAGAAGTAGTACTTAGTGTTCATGTTCTTAAAATCTAAAATAGCATTTTCCCCTCTGAGAATGATCTTGTCCCACAGAACAACCTGGTTTAATTCGTTGTTTGGGGTGATGTATTCAGCCGTGAGGTAGAGGAACAACTGCTTCACGTTCCAGTTGAACAGGTGAGAGAGATCCGTCTTGAGATCGAAAGTCAGGAAACCAAGATCATTTCTTTCCCTTGATGCTCCGTAGTCTGGCACGTTCTTACTGTAAGTACCATTGCCAATTACCATCAACAAATAGAAATATAACCACAACAACTGTTACGAATACTCACACGACTACTTTTACTGTGTTCATTTGTGCAGCAGTCCTGTAATCCACTGTTAATGTGGATAAAAAGCACAGAAAGGTTAGACATGCTAACACACTTAACGTGTACGTAAGTATTGCGTTTCCTCTTGTTAACACAGAATACATTTTAGAGGTATATTTTTTTAAATTTCTTCTTAAAAATATGCAGCGGTGGCATAAAACCACTGCAATAGGCGTTTTTAAAATGTTTGATTGACGTTGCTGTTTATTGACAGATAGGACACGTCATATGTCAGTGACAGTAAGTGTTCATTTTCGTTTGGATATTTGTCTAAAATATCTTTTTTCTGTGAAGTTAATTTTTAATAACATAGGCACAAAAAAATTATACACAATATGGACACTTAATACAGCATTTTAAATAAAAATAAATATCTTAATTACATTAAAAATTTATTCGCATGTCAATGCGGAAAGTATCCATAAGGCTTATAGCATTGCTACGTTGTATGATAGTTAAGTGTAGTGGCCACGAGATGGATCTGTGTATAAAATTTGCGCAAGGGTATCCCCACGGGCTCATTAAGATGAACTGAAAAGTGGAGTCGTTTAACATGGTGCTCATGTTGTGTGAAAGTTTTGTTTGGAATGTTATAACTCAATAATGCCTTTACCGATTTGACTAATTTTGAACTTCAATTATTTGTGGAAGTCCAGAAAAGCCTTTGTACGTAAAAACATAAAATAAATCTTGTAAAAGTGTAAAATCGACATGCACGCGGGCGGAGCCACGGGCGACCGCTTGTAAAACTATAACTTACTTTCTAACTTCTTGGCTATAATTTTTAACCTTTGTTAAAAAAGAGTCCCCTTTGATAGAGTTGAACGAATTCTTTGAATTAACCTTAGGGATGACTTCAATTTCATTATGATTGAGATCGGACGATAAGGCTTATGCGGCAGCTTTAGAATTCCACGCCGAAACCAAGTTGAAGGGGATGGACATGGGTGAGGCATAAGTATAAATTAGCACTTTACAAGATGTCGATAACGGCGTCAATCACACTATTAGAGAACATTAAACTGAGTAGAGCCTTACTAAAACTAGAATTAACTAAACTCCTTCATTTATAAGAGACCCGTTTGCTTCTCCGGTTTTTCAGCCCGTTAAATCCTTGACATATCGAGGGGACCGACTATCCATTCCACCCGCAGAGCTACTGCAAAAGGAGCCAATGGCTTTAGCTACCTACCTAATTGATTAACGGCTGCTTTTAAATATAGGCTAAGCTTGGGAAGGCTGGGAACAGAGAATAGTCCTAGCAAGCGGGCGTTTTATCACCAAAACTTCACAATTTTCTGAAGAGTAGGGAGCAACAATGTTACTTCTGAATAAAAGCGGGTTCACTTATGTCACCGATACCTAACTTGGATATCATGAAATTAATTTTTTTTTATTACTATTTAAAAAAGTTTGGCAATTTTAAGACAGAAGTGTGATTTAAAAATCTTTAATTTCGGAAGTAAAATTTTTATTTTTGAGGAAGCGCCGTCAGCTATTTAACACGAATCGCTGCGGCACGGGCCCTATGGAGCCTAACATCAAAATTCTTACAGCCAAGCCGAACACCTTGGTCTACAACTCCTGCCTACATTACAACACTAAAGCGGAGGACATCGTGGAGTACGTGCGTCAGAACCTAAAGTACGCCCCTACAGTGCAGCTGCTGGACTCGCGCCATATCACCAACTTCAAGGTGTTCATGGTGCGAGTGCCGACATGTGTTCGGACGAGAGCTTCTGGCTACAGCCTTACAGGACGTGGTGTGTCGTCGCTTCCGTGGATAAGTTTCACATAAACGCACAATAACATAGATTCAGGTTTTATTAATAACAAGTTTTGTATTATTTATGGGCCAAGGGGCCATTGTCGCCGAATTTAATACATTAAATTACATTAAAACAATCGAGGCAGGGAGCAGAGAGAACATCTTACCAGGCTTTCCAAGAACTACGCTGAGCGCTTCCTGGCCAGAGAAATCAAATAATAGACTAAAGTTATAACATATTTACATTTAAACTAGAAACCAGATTATAAAACATACAAATGACAAAGTCAAGATGACGGGGTGACCCCTCCAATCTATGCGTACCTAACCCTGCGCATCCTTGCTGAGCATTGATAAGGCATAGAATTTTAATAAATAAGCAAAGATGTTGTGTTACTGGATGTGGCAGTTTTATATATTTATATGGCTTTTTAAAAAAAACAATTAATTCCTTCTCTTGCTTCGAACGGGTAGCGAAGCTACATCACTGTGCCTGCGAACGCATCACAAGCTTACTCCTGCAACCCTGGGCAGGATAACGACCCTTGCTTAGTTTATGTGTTCAGAGGAAAAAGAAGACAATCACACTTTCACATTAGTAATAAGGAACAGTGGAAACATTTATTAAATCGAATAGTAATTTAATTTAATTGAATATACCTAGGTACCTACTTAGATACGTATTTTCTTAGGCCCAATACGTTTGATAATTATTATGATTTATCAATGTATTTGTGATTAATTATTTTAACATGAAAAAGAATTGAACAAATAATTATTTCATTTCAATTCTTTCAATTAAGATTTATGGTATTTTCTTTAGTCAGTTGGTTCTTTTCCTAGGTGTTTCATATAAGTAGGTACAAAATCAGCAAATGCCTTAATTTGGTTTAAAACCGTAATAAATATATTTTTTTCCAATTTGAGAAATGAAATGATAGCCAAAAGTATGAATTAAAAATCATGTAATAACGTCAATTAAAATATATTTTTTACACACGTTTATTTAATTAAATCTGACTTAAATACAATAAGTATAGCTACAAGAAAGACGAAAAATGTACTTATATTTGTTATAAAAGCGTTATTACAAGGTACGCCTCCAGGTATGGATCGACAGAAGCAAGCTCGGGTGACAAAACTGCCGTTTCTTTGTTCGTAACAGCCTCTTGTTATTGCTTGCCCGTTGGTATCCACGGCCCTTGTACACATGTA